ATTTTCCTTTTCCCGAGTTGATGACTTCTCTGCTAGGATTGAAATCTTGGCAAATAATTTAATCATTAAATCATCCATTTTATCCAATTTTGTTTCCAAATCCTTAACCTTAGTGTCTCTTTCTCTGAAGGCTTGTAATAATTTCTCCATTTGATTCAAGGTAGCTTCCTCCTGATTTTGGTTTGTTTCTTCGATCAATCTGGTGTCGTCATCCAATTGATCTTCATCATAAGTTCTTCTGTAATGGTTAAATCCTGACATCTTAATTTTAGTAATTGGTTCGAAATTGATTCTGGTGTAGTTTTAATCTCTGAGTAATGTTTTTGACTATAGTCCTAATGAACCCTGACTTCTCGATGAATTACTCGTCCTAAGTCATATTCTCCTATTATATACTTCCAGTTACATTTTTCACCATTTAATAGTAAACTATAGATGAAATATCCGTTTTAGGTAATATTCCACTAATTATAAGTCAACCTGCAGGGAAATTTTCTTCTCAAATAAATTCGACCAATCAAAGGTCTCTTTTTTTTTATCAAATACTTGATCAATTTGTTGTCAAGTCAATCCAAGTGGGAATTTTATCCACAAAACTTGGTCAATTTAAGATCGGCATTCCTTAAAAGGATTCCATGTAAAACAAACGGTCCCGAAGTAATTAAAAGGTTTGCATTCCTCTGTTCTTATTGGTCAGACATCTTGGCTTAAATTATTCCCAAATAATTGATGAATCCAATGTTGAAACTTGATGTAACACCTTACTTCCAAATGACCAATTATCCATAAGCTGTAGTAATTTTATAGAAGTCCTAAGCTCCCAGTCTATTGAGTGATCCAGTAGAAGGTGAAGGAGTTATCTTGTAGTCCCTTGATCCTAAGCCAAGTCTACTCACCTCTCTTCTTAGCTCCAGGTAGTTATAACTTTATCGTATGGCCATACTTGTTAAAACCTGACTAAATACTTCTAGCTCAACTCTCACTGATTACTTTCAGCAGCATCTTGTGTTCCTATGACACCTCAATGTCCTTTATGGAAATGATCTTCGTTTAATTACGATTAGACTTTTTATAATCCCGCATTGCCCATATAGCTTTCTTTGTAGTTATGGTGCTAGTTGTTTGAAATATCCATCAAGATATTCACTAAGTTCGTTCGTTCCTGCTAGGGACCACCAAAATTCCTGTCACACAGTAAAACCCTAAACTGTTAAGTGATCCAAGGAAATGCAACTAACGCAGTTATTAATATAACGTAAGTTGAACAATAATCAGCGGTGGCAAAAGGGTTTCTGATAAAGCAAATGATACCAACTACGGGAATGAATGTTACTTTAAGCTAGTTGTTATAATGAACCTTCACTTAAGTTAAGTCTAAATCTAGTAAATCGTATAATCAGATAATTACTCTTAAACGTCGATACTCTATAAAAGTCATATATAAGAATAATCTGTTTTTCTCTTCACTTAAATAGTTTCTCTAACTAATGCTCCTGCATATAGTCATCTCACGTTATTGCCACTAATTTGTCAATTCAACAAATTCCAACTAATTTATCTTAATGTTACTTTAGTTAAATAACCACCATAATTCATAACTTGTCGAGTTCTAACAATTTAGGATTGTTCGACTCGTTGTCACAGATTTGTAACAAACACAATAACTTTACGTCAAGTGCAGTTACCCTGTGACATATGGTCAGTTCACCCTCCCTTTTTGTGTTTGATACCTGCGTCTGTGTCTGTGTTTCAATCCCACACCCTTAGAAAAAACTTTTGCAACAGCCGAAAATACAGGAGCAAATTACCCGACAAAGTGTAGGGAACCACCACAAGAAAGTACCCAAAATTTGATTTCAAGCAAGAGATTGGTGAAGGAAAATGATGCAGTATAAATAGCTACTTCTAATTGCTGAGCTGGCATTTGGTATTGTTGGTCTCCACTAAGAGGTTCTTGTGTGTTGCAATTGACACTAACACACATATGAGTACTCCAACTAGACAGCACACAACATTTTACAACACCATAATAGAGACACACACGTCCATTGTGTCTCCTTTTGTCCTCCAGCAACCGTAACCAGGTGCTAATCTGTAATTGGTTCATTTAGAGGAAATTCCGCGATGGTCGTGCAAAGTGGTGAATTTGTGTTTTGGTAGCACCACTAAGTTGTCTACTGCTAACAGTACAGGACCACAGATGCCTGGAGACAACGTGAAATGATAATGGAAACGTATACGCTGAACTTAGTGTGAGTTAATTTTGCTACGTGTTACATTGTAGTTACTAGATATGTGTGTGTTCTATTTGTTGTGTATTTTCTGTATAAATTTGCAGCAAAACACCATCAAAATTTCCCATCAGTTTATATTTTGAAAATTAGTGTACTTGCAAATTACGTTCATATAATACGAACTGAAGTGAGGAATAGAGTATAGAAACAGTGTGAGATACGATCATACCATAAATAGAACCAGCATACCAGAAAACACGTCAACTAGCTGGATAACAAATAAATTTACTAGTGCATATCAAAGTGTTTCGCAGTGTAACAAAAAAAATGAACAACAAGCATAACAAATATCGAGCATAACAAATAAATGCCATATCAAATAAATCAGCATACCAAATATCGGGCATAACAAACACACAGCATAACAAATATAGAGCATGACAAACAAATGACATATCAAATAAATAGCATAACAAACAAATGACATATCAAATAAATAACATAACAAATAAATGTCATATCAAATAATATACATAACAAATAAACAACATATCAAAATAGTCAACGTATCAAAATAATTAGCGTATCAAATAATCAGCATATCAAATAATCAGCATATCGAAATAACTAGCATATCGAAATAGCTAGCATATCGAAATAATCAGCATAACAAAAACACCTTTGCTATGCCAGGAGTTTGATATGATAGAACACAAAGATCTTTTTGTTATGCAGCTGCCCCACTCTTTTTTTGTTATTCCAGTAGTTGAGCGCTTTTATGTTATTCTTCGTTAATGATATGCTCCTCCTTGAAGGGGAAGCCAGGCTTTGTGATCTATATGTAAGACCCTTTCTAACGATATGACCCGATACTTTCGCACTTCCGGGTCAGCAGTGTTCCGATATCCTACGTAATAACTCTCATATTTGAATAACAGCATTCTAAGTCTTATTCAGTCTCCATATGACTATACAAATATCTTTGCTGTGTTTGGCACTAGTTTCCACACATACAATTAGTTGTAGAATTTTGCGACACGGAAAAAGAGCGACTGTCGTGCGACTTTCTGATATCTCCGTTTTTACTTTTACTTTTCCTTTTCCGCAATGTCGCGTGGTAGCTAAAATGTGTGTTCCGACATTACTTGAGTGTCAAACTTTTTCTGTCAAAAATGTCTGATATCGGATAAACCTTAAAATGTCGCCTGTCATATGTGTCGCATGGGTACACATGTCGTAGGTAACAGCGACACGAGATACGCGACATGATAGATGCGACATGGTACATCCGACATGATATGCGCGACATGATAGATGCGACACGCAGCATTCAACTTGCGACAAAGGGTGCAAACGACATTTCATAGTGGAATAGACACCAACAATGACAATACCCAAGTTACTTGCAAAGACCATGAGATGACACTGATAGTGATCTATTTTGGTGTATGATGCTCTTAAGAACGTTAGTTGTGCCATTACCACCAATATAGTGAATTAAAGTTTGATATAATGTATGAAGAAACACTGGCATTGTACGTTGCATGTGTGTTGGTAGAATAGCAGAACGTGTGTTATCAAAAGGGCAGCCGATATACTAGGATCACACAATGGATAGCTGTATATACGTCTGCTTTATCATATGGTATTGTATGTAAACTTATACAGAAATAGATTTGGTAATTATTATGTCTAGTACTAATCACAGAGTCGTTGCTACAGCTTCTGTAGCTGCTACAACTGTTGCTATCACAGGTTATGACAACTCCATTAGTATTATAGGTTGTGGATCTTGAAAGTAGCTAATAAAGTACACCAATGGTATGTTTAATGTGTGGAATATTTGTCTTTATTTCACGCTTTAGTCCTGGTATCCTATCTATTAGTCTACATGTTGGCTATAGTCAATCTATTACCCTACTATCCATCAATTGAAGCCGTGGATGACTTGATAATGCATTGATAATTAAAGGGAAATTGACACCTTGAATTCATGATCTTACCAAACATATATGACTGCCTGGTCAGTCAGATTGAGGAGCGGTACTCCTACAATGATTTGGCAATTACCAGGCTATCAAGTGGACACCTCTGTCAAACATTGACTTACTCCCCATGCTAAGCACTTCCGACCGTCGACACATAGTTCCGGTCATACCCCAAGTCCCTTGATGATTGAACTTTAGGAAAGCTTGCAACAAGATGACGCATTCAGGGTCGGTGAATCACAAAACTCTAGATACAATCACCGGGCATATCATATATGATCCAGCCCAGCATAACATACAGGGTTCAGTGGGCATACCATAAAATGTTGGAAGAAGCATAACAAATAAAATTCAGCAGAGCATAACAAAAAACATTCGAAGAGGCATATCAAATTAGTTTCGGCCGAGCATAACAAATAGGGACCACCAAGCATAACAAATAGGGTCCACTGAGCATATCAAATAGGGACCACCAAGCATACCAAAAATATATTCACCCGAGCATATCAAATTAGCTTTACCCGAGCATACCAAATAAACATTGAGCCGAGCATAGCAAACTAATAAAGACCGAGCATAACAAACTAATTTCGGCCGAGCATATCAAATTGGTTTCACCCGAGCATATCAAACAGATTTGGGCCGAGCATAACAAGTAAACAGGTCCGAAGCATAACATAAAACTCATGAAGAAGCATACCAAACAAGACGTTGGCATACCAAAGAATAATGTATGGGGCATACCAAAAGAAAAGCTTAGTCAAAAATGACACAAAACCAATCACCACGTGACTCCATGGGCAAACCGAAACTGAGATCCGGAAACTTGTAAAGAGGGCTCTATGGCATAGTTGCCATACAGCAGACTCCCTCATCTGTTAAAGCGATCCAAAGAGATGCGAATATTTTGTTTTTTTTCCGTTTACTAATAATAGTTTCTCTGGCTGATGTCCCGGCTTGTAGTTAACACATTGAGAACAAACGAAACACATTTAAGACTTTTGCAGTCGAACCATGTTCCAGGTTATGTTACTAAAGAGTCAGCTTCTTTGAATTAAGTCATTCTACATTTGAAAGTCTATACAGTCTATTTAGTCACTACTGAAATACTTTGACACCCCACGTACCGGATATGGTGTATCTTCATTATTAGTATTTCTAAAACTGATATCGTCTAATAGTTCATCAAAGACACCATCGTTGACAGGGTACACTTCAGATCTAGACGCTACAACTTCTTTGGAGCCGTCTTTGTTTTGTTCCTCTGGAATGGAATCGTTGTCCCGATACGTCATCTGATTGGAGAAACCTGCTGATTCGACTAATGGCGTGGAAAGCTCCTCGGTAGAGTTCATGAAGGGGTTAACCAACTGGGAATTCCCGAGCTTCCAAGACAGAACTTGGTCACTTTGTGAAGCTAATTCATTGCCCTGTTGTGTAAGACTATAATCAGATTTCTGGTACTCTTGCATGTAGGTCTTTTCTAGTGGTTGAATTGGGTACAGTTCAAGAACTGTTTTTCCATCTTCCTCATCCGCATGTTCAAACCCTTCTTCCATATTCATGTTGTCAAGTATCAACGGAGGTGGCTGCTTTCTTTTTGGATGATATTCTAGATTATCTGTAAATGATCTCTCAGGCAACTTTCCAATATTGTTCTTGGAGGTAGTCTCCTGGTATGGCAAACTGTTGGATCTAATATTGTTATGTCGAGGAGCAGATGGAGTAACCGAACTTTGGCTCTCAATGGATTTCAATCTAGGTTTATAATTTGCAAAGTCTTGTTGGTAGGTGCGTTCAACCTTGTTTGCATGGGTATCCACATTTGAATATGTCAAATTTTGACCGTTATATCTATCTCTCAATTCACTCAACCTCTTGCTTGCGATGTTTGGCTGGTCGTTGATAGGAGAGTACACATGTTCCTCCTTTTGGTTACCATATTGAACCCCCAAGTCATGTGTCGAATCAGACCTGTTCTTCATATTACCCAACGGGATAATGGATTCCTTTGTAGAGTAGTCTTGAGTAGTGGTTCGGTAAAAGGTTTTCGAGTAGTCGTTGTAATTTGGAGGATTTTCTCCCAACACCGGCAATTTGGCAATTCTCTCTTCTGATAGAATACCTTGTTCCAACAACACTGTCTTCGATTTATGGTTCAAACGGACAGCATTCTCAATGTGATCATTCACTATGCTACAACAGTAGTCCTTGAATGAATTGTAGTTGTCCTTTTTCAATTGAACTTTCAATGGAACATAGCAGATCATGCCAAACAAAAATCGAAAGAAAAAGATGGCATAGATGAACACCGACAAGCACATGAAGCTAAGAATAATAGACAAGTACAAGTTGGTCTTTGCGATGTCTTCAATGTTCTGGAGAATGTTATTGTTCAACTCACCACCAGTGGCATAGTATCGTAGCGTCAAAACATTGATGACTTGACGCGGAGTATCAGCAACAAGTATCTGGAGAGCGTTGTCCAACTCGTAGTAAGTTAGAAAGCAGCACCAATCAAAAAAGCTTCCTTCGTTGATGTTGTTCAACAAGCAAAAGTAATCATAGCTCCTGATAGAATACACCTTCTTGGCAATGGAATTCAAATAGACCAATGCTATGTTCTTCGTCCTCAAGATATGAATCGCCCACATCCAATGGTAGAATAACAACACAAACTGAAATATTATACAGCCGGTGAAGATCCATTTGGCAATGGCGTATGCATAGGGTTTGTAGTCATCTGTGGCCCATTTGTGGAAGACTAAGATGTTTAGACAGGAATATACATCAGTGGCCAACAATGCAAACGACAAGAAAACCAATGTCCACATGTAAAAATACCAGAAGAGCGTGGAGCAGTTATAGTTTCTGAAGTTGTTGACCTTGATAACATCAAAAGTGGATACATCCAACTGGTACTTCTGGATCTCCTTTTCCGTATTAAAGTGTTCTTTCCTCGTTGTAGATAGGTGACTATATCGTTTGTTACTCATTATCAGTATGTGTATATAGTTATATATATAGTAAAGAACTAGCTATTGGCTTGTATGGATGTCCTGTCTCCACGAACTCTGGTGATCTTCTTCTAGTATTCAAAAGAGTGTGTCTTTGATTTGAAGTTTTTGCGGTGCCGTGTCTGCAGATTTAAAGTTTGCTGAAAGGGAGGAGGAAAAAAAAGTTAAAAAAAAAAAACAAACAAGAAACAGAATACGATGTGAGATTTCTTACAATTTAGCAAAACAAAAAACATTGGGGTTGCATCATTATTTCTATGAAATAGTATGAAAGGTGTAATTTTATTTGGATATACAAACTTACGTAATGATGCACAGATTAAGTAAGCAACCGTGATGTCAAATAGGAAGTAGTCAGTGTGTAATTGCTACTATTCTATTAAATACATTGGGTTTATTTTCAGTTGTTAAAAATAGATTTGGTGCTGAAGATTTACGAAGAATCTCGAATGCACAATCATTGTGGACGAATGCAAATGTTACCAACAACAAAACAAAGGAATGACAGTAACACCACCTCAAGCAATTTCAAATTGCTTCCTATAAAGGATATATGTTACTGTTTTCAACTTACATGTTAGCCCTAATAGCAGAGTTTCCAACATTAATTAGACGATACGGAACTTTGCACAACGGAAAAGCTTATTTTTTTTTTTAATTCGTTAGAGATTGAGAATTTTGTATTAGATGAAACTCAACTGAAACACATAAAATAAACTTGTTTCTTACAAAGTAAAACAACAAGGCATCCAATTATCTGGTATCTATTATAGGTACCATAATTTTCTAGGCCTGTAGATAGGAAAACTTGTGTTTTTACTTGTAGCTGTCTGTCAAAGCTAGTGCCAAAAAAATCCCAATTCTTGAGAAACACATTAGCAGAAATATATACAGTTCTATTCAGCACTTTTTTAATACAACAGGGTTTTCAGGTCACCAGGTTTGATCCCATACTAATAGGTTCTACTTGATTCTTATTTGCGTTAGAAGAATCAGGCACAAAATGGATCATAATTACGCGTCAAATCGTCGAGTGATTACATAAGCCAAACGCGCGCCGTTTTTTTGGCGACTAAAAAAAAAAGAAAATCTTTTTTTAGTTAATAAACATTGGGTTCACTATTCTTTCAGAAGGATCATACTTAGATGTCAACAGTCGATACAGTTACAACTACTTCAAGTGTATTGAAGAGAAAAATAGAAGAGGTAGACCCAGAATTGGATGAAGAGTCAGAGGAGCTAATCTCATCCAATAAACGGTCCAGAGATACATGGGCCCCAGTTTCAGTCACTACAATTAACGATCCCTTCAAATTCATCACCTCGACCTATATTTCAGAAGTACCAGAAAGTATTGTTGCCAATGACTCTGAACCTATTGTACTTGGTGTTGACGAAGCTGGCAGAGGGCCAGTGTTGGGTCCAATGGTGTATGGTGTTGCGTACGCTTTGGAGTCTTTTCTGGACGGATTACAAAAGAAGTATGGCTTTGCAGATTCAAAAGTACTCACTGAATCCAAAAGAGAAGAACTATTTCGACTTATTGAAGAAAGCTCAGACAATGAAAAGGGGTTGAGCAAGGTTATTGGCTGGGCGACGACATCAATGACAGCTCGAGACATTTCTAGTGGCATGCTACAATCTTCCGGCAAGGGAGCCTACAACTTGAATAGTCAGGCTCACGATGTCACAATTAACTTAATTAAACAGGTTTTGAAAAAGGGTGTTAAAATTTCAAAGATATTTGTCGACACAGTCGGCCCACCAGCAACGTACCAAGCTAAATTGAAAGGTATATTTCCAGATATTGAGATCACTGTTGCGAAGAAAGCAGATAGTATTTATCCGATAGTTAGTGCAGCTTCTGTGGTGGCTAAAGTGACAAGAGACAAAAATATTGCTTATTACAATAATCATCTTGATATTCTCAAGGGTCACAAGTTGGGTTCTGGATACCCAAGCGACCCAAACACTAAGACATGGCTAAATTCAAATGTTGATAGCATTTTTGGGTGGTGTTTTGGGTTTGCAAGGTTCTCATGGGCCACAGCCAAAGACGCATTGATCAATAACGGAGCTGCTACAGTCGTTTACGCTGATGATGTTAAAAAGGACAGTGGTTATAAGGATGTATCCTCCATGATTGCAAATAGAAAAGGCGATGAAAGTCGATTATCCAAAAAATACTTCAATAGTGACAACATAGATTTAATATAGATAGTAATATAAAATCTGAAGTCTGTGTGAAGACCTTACTGTTTTTGGAATAATCCCATGATCGCTAGACAACACTATGACTTATTCCAACAATGTACTTCAAGATTTGATTTATTGTACAATGTGGTTCTTTTTTTTTTTTGCATGTTGGGTAGTGTGTAAATTTCAATTTACGGAGATGTACAGCCGAAAACACACGCTTACCAGAAGCGATACATTGCGGACAAGATCAATCCATCAGAACGAAGAGGGAAGAACAAAACCTAGAAAAAAATTCTTTTTCTAAAAAAAAAATTCACCAAAACCCAAAAAAAAACCCACCAATACACCTTGGAAATCTTTTGGATTCGTTTTATTTTTTTTTTGTTTGAAAATTTTAATCAATTGGAATTCTCTTTAGTTAATTTGCTGTTCCTGTTCTGTTTTCGAAATATATTTTAAAAACGGACTGAATTATAAAATAAAGAATCCATTTCTTATCTATTCCACGCTTCAATTTCCAATGTCTGCTTTATTTACAGTTTCTAGATCAGTAATGGCAACCCGTGCCATTGCTCCAAAAGTTAACACTTCTTCATTTTTGAACTTAGCTAGATTGTATTCTTCTGGTAAGTTTCCACCACACACTGTCATCCACATGCCAGCCTTGTCCCCAACCATGACACAAGGTAATATTCAATCTTGGGCTAAAAAGGTTGGTGATGAATTAGCCCCAGGTGAACCAATTGCCGAAATCGAAACCGATAAAGCCTCTATGGATTTTGAATTCCAAGAAGAAGGTTATTTGGCTAAAATCTTGATGGATGCTGGTTCTAAAGAAGTTCCAGTTGGTCAACCAATTGCTGTCTATGTTGAAGATGCCAGCGAAGTTTCTGCATTTGAAAACTTTACTGCTGCTGATGCCGGTGAAGCTCCACAAGGTGCTGCTCCAGCTGAAAGCGAAGCTCCAAAAAAAGAAGAAGAATCTAAATCAGCCAAAGAATCACCAGCTGCTGCTTCCACATCAAGCTCAGCTGCCTCAAAACAAGCCCCAACTGATAGAATTTTTGCCTCTCCATTGGCTAAGACCATTGCTTTGGAAAAGGGTATTTCTTTGAAGGGTGTTAAAGGTTCAGGTCCACACGGAAGAATTACTGCTAAGGACATTGAAGGTCTCGAATCTAAGCCTGCTGCTGCTGCTACCACCCCAGCTGCTGCTCCAGCTCCAGGTGCTACATACGAAGACATTCCAATCACCTCTATGAGAAAGACCATTGCCAGCAGATTGTTGCAATCCACTCAACAATCTCCATCTTACATCATCCAATCCCAAATTTCTGTTTCTAAATTATTGAAATTGCGTGCTTCCTTAAACTCCACTGCTGAAGATAGATACAAATTGTCCATCAACGATTTGTTGATCAAGGCTATTGCCAGAACCTGTGTTAGAGTTCCAGAAGTTAACTCTGCTTGGTTGGGCGAACAAGGTGTTATCAGACAATATAAGAATGTTGATGTTTCTGTAGCTGTTGCCACACCAACTGGTTTAATTACACCAATTGTTTTCAATGCTGAATCTAAAGGTTTGGCTGATATTTCAAACCAAGTTAAGGACTTGGGTAAGAGAGCCAAGATCGGAAAATTGGCTCCAGAAGAATTCCAAGGTGGTACCATTTGTATTTCCAACTTGGGTATGAACAATGCTGTTACAGCCTTCACTTCAATTATTAACCCACCACAATCTGCCATTCTTGCTATTGGTACTACTGAAAAGAAAGCTGTTCCAAGTGAAGTCAATGAACAAGGATTCGTTTTCGACGATGTCATTACTATTACTGGTACCTTTGATCACAGAGTTATCGATGGTGCTTTGGGTGGTGAATGGATGAAGGAATTGAAGAGAATTGTTGAAAACCCATTGGAATTGTTGATCTAATTGAAAGAATAGTTGCGAAACAAAATCATGTATACTTATCTATATAACTTAAATATATAAAAACAAAAAGGTCAACAGGGAGGAATACTCTAAATAATGCGTATAATCTCGGAATTTTATGAATAATCATTATTGTAATTCAGTATCCATATTTTAATAGATTAATGAATCAATGTAGTAGTTGACAAAGATTGCGTGTTGTGACAAACGATGCAACACGTTGTTTGACGTACAATCTGGTGAGTAACTTCAGAAGAAAAAAAAAAAAAGGGAAAAAGGAAGACACCAGACCCATACATTGACACTGCGACGAAGTAAAAAAAAAAAAAAAGAAAAAAAAAATTCAATTGTTTACTGTACTTGACTCTTTTTGAAATCATAGCCACCTACACTAAAATAATGACAATAGAAACTATTTATATCGCTAGACATGGGTACAGATCAAACTGGTTACCTCCACCTCATCCTGAACCATTAACTGGAATTGATAGTGACCCTCCATTAGCTGCACATGGTGTTGAACAAGCAAAACAATTAGGTGCTTATCTTGAATCTTTACCAAGCAATGAAAAACCACAATTCATTATTGCTTCACCCTTTTATCGTTGTATAGAAACAGCTAAACCAGTTTCAGAGAAATTGGATGTGAAAATTGCCATTGATCGAGGAGTAGGGGAATGGTTTCGTAAAAATAGACCAACCAAACCAATTCCAGCTGATTATAAACAATTGAATGAGTTCTTTGGTACTGTTTTAATTGACGAGGATAAATGGCCAAGAGATAATTTGAATGTTATACCAAATGTTGATGGGGAAACAGAGGAAGAAATTTTCGAAAGAAGTCAAGAATTCTGGAAGCGTTTCATACCAACTTTTGAAGAAAGATATCCTGAAATTGATACGATATTGATTGTTACTCATGCTGCAACTAAGATTGCTTTAGCCTCAGCCCTTTTAGGATTGAGCTCAGTATTTGATTATATTGATGACAAACAGACTTTGATACGTGCTGGTTCTTGTTCTTTATCAAAATTCATTAAAAGCAACAATGATGATAGTAATAAATGGAAGATTGTTATGAATGGTAACTGTGAGTTCTTAACTAAGGGAGAAGAGATGAACTGGGACTTCCGACAAGGTGTTGAAGCTGGTTCAGCAGAAGACATAGCAAGAAGAAAAGCAATAGATCAAGCATTGGCAGAACAACAACAACAACAACAACAAAAACAAGCCAAAGAGAATGCACCAATTACTGACTTGGCCACTGGATCAGAAGTTGATGGAAATGAAGAGGAATTTGAAGTACGTAAGAGCATTATCTGATATATTAACAAAGACTTAAATAGAAAATTGCCGAGACACACGACAAACGAAATATAGATATAGACAGTTATTTTGGTCTTTTTTTTTTCACTATTTTCTTTATTTATTTATATTTTTTTTTATCTTGGTTTCAATGTATTGAATGAGTCCTTCGGCAGTTTGTATTTATTGTTTTACGAAAAAGAATAGTATACTAACATTACTAGACATTTTACGTTACTATAGATTTACCATTGTCAAATATCAAGGCAGATAATGAAGATGATTCACTGTTGAAGCCAGGACAAGCTCCCAAAGCCAAGAATACGGTAATAAAACCGTCTGCACAACTTCAATTTACTGATTTGAAGGAAACTCATCCATTGGTCAAGATATCAAATAATGTATCTCAGAAATCAGCTACTCATGGAACACAAAGTCGCTCAAGAGTAATCGATAATTCTGTACTTATAGATAGGAGGATTTTCGAAACAAATTGGAATAGACTACAAGGATCAGAGTTGATATTCGATGAAAATGGAAAGTTCATTGGTAGTGTCAAAGAGCATTTAGTTTGTAATAGAAACACCAATTTCACGTTGAAGGAAGAAACTGAAGTTGTTAATACTGAAGAGTTGGAAGATATAGAGAAAGAAAATCAAAGTTCATCACAGCAAGAACACCAACAGTTTAGAACTCAATTTCTAAAAAGATCTATTCTTAAAGCACGGAAAAGAGGAACTGAAACACCATCTAACTAGTTCTTTTATTATCTATAAATACAACAAATGTATAGACACTATTTTATATTTATCTATTTCTTGGAAGTGACTACTCTTTGTATGTGGTCCATGTACAGTTGTAAGCTAACATCATCCGTAAACACATCATTTCGATCTCCAGTTCCGTAAAAATGGTTCACATTAGTTGCATAACTGGTACTTGGATTCAATTTGGCCATCAAAAATCTTGCTTGTGAACCCCCTTCATCACAATCAATAAATCTAGGCAATGGGAATCTATCCATCAACAACAACATGGCTTCCTTTTTCGGGGATTCCAAGAAATCTTTAAAATATTCATATTCAGCTTGTTCGTGATAACCAGCCTTTCTCCATTCAGCAACTTGTGCACCATGATAGATTAATATTTGGAAAAAAGTGTCTAATAACAAGATCTTTGAACTTCCCAAACTCAAAGAGTCCAATAAAACAGGTTCGGGTTCGTCCAATGTCGCTCCAGTTGCTTCATCCACAACTGATCCCCAGGTGTTAATGTCGTATGACAACAAAGTAGGCTGTATCATTAACAATGAATTGGAAGTGTCCTCATGCATGAATATATGTCGAACATAACTGGTTTCATCAGGAGAGCTGTTGAAAACATTGATAAATGGAGAGCGTCGCAAGTGGTAAATGAATTGGGGAAACAAGGAATATGTCTGGGCTAATCTAAATGACTCAAGTATTCCACTAGTGTATACGGCGTATCTCGTGCAAAAATCAATAAGAGTCTGATCCAATTGTTTAACAATTATGGAGTCTTTGGTTACCTTTGTATGACCCGGTTGTAGCTTATTGATTGAGTCACGTGCTACTAAAACAATTGCTGCTTCTTGGTCGAAACCCAATTCTAGATTAATCTGGTCAGAATCAGCAATGATATTCACGGCAATCGTTGTAACTCTCAATCTCATTTCGCCTGAAGGATGTTGATAATGAAAAAGGAATTGAATGGTTGTCATTGTGTTTAAACTGTCCTGTTTCTCAAAGTATAAAGCATACGTTGAGTGTGGATTCACATTGCACAACTTCCAACAGTTAGTTTTACCTTCACCAGTTATATTGCTACTGATCATTCGTTCATTTGCAGGTGTTGTTTTATTAAAGGGCAAAGGAGTTGCGTTCCCAATCAAGCCTTCAATTTTAAATCAACACCAGTTTTTACCTCTAGAGTAGCATTGAACCCCATATCCAAGTATTCACCAGCATCAGCATTTTGTTCCTCATTGCCTTCAACGCTTTCCAGTTTCTTGAAAAATTTGACAAAACTTTGCTTAAAAATTGCCGTACTAAAGGAATCACTAAGCACTACACTACCTCCTGTTTTGTAGCATACCTCGTCCATTTCGTACAACCCAACTTGATCGTAGCTTCCAATGAAGAAATCACAACTAATACCAAGAGAAACAAGTGTCTTGGTGACTTGTTCGTAAAACAATTTGGCATGTTTGAATAAAGACATGTTGCTTTTGGCTACACTTGAAGTCGAAGGTGCGTGAATTGTGGTGGTTTGTGATTTTATAATATCATGGTGTGATCTTAAAGGTTCCTTCAACAAAGAGTCAACAATCTTACCTGGACCCAAAGTACAAACACCAGCAATAAAAACCATCAAATGGCCACCAGTAGCATGATGCTGACTACCTAAGATTGTCTTCAATAACAAAGATGCAATATTTATTGCTGACCCGGTAGCTCTTTCAGGACGTTGACTGTACTCATTATGAGGAAAGTGATCCACCACCAATGATTCTATAATATTTGTCAATTGATACTCAGCAATAGTGACTGGTTGTAAGAATCGTTTACCAACATTTCCAATCAATTGTTCATATCCACTGTCATTTGAACCCTTTGAATTGGCAACACTTAAACCACTACTGATCAAGCCAAGGGATGATTGCAATTTTTCCAATGTATATTGCTTGTTACCATTGAAAGTATACGACAAATTATCGTTACTACTTAAATCGTGTATCTTCACATGTTTTCCAAAAGAAATGAACCCAACCAAAGCATTTTCTGGTAAAAGACTCAAGGAAAGAGTCAAACTTTCTTTGAGTTGCTGGAATGCCCCTTCAACATCGTCCCCTTCGAAAATAGTATCCACGACATAAAAAAATACTGGAGGTAAAGGAGCAAGTCTCCCAGTTTGATATTCAACAGTGGTGAACTCTTGGTTTAAGTTGAGTGGTAATGCCGGTTGGCCCTGTTCATCCACTAAAGCTGGAAGTTGATTTGTTGTACTACAAACCAGGCACGTCCAAACCCCACTATTGCATTGAACAAAGGGACTTAATACAGCTCTACATGATCGACAGCTGATAATGCTATTCTGGTCCAATAACGGTATTGGCGATTTATCATTCAATGGAGTGTATAATGCCCCCATAGGTATAACGTTTCTCTGGTGTTGCAACTTTGACTTTGGTAACGATGACCAGGAGAGTCTCACACCATCCTTGTCTTCTCTTCCTTCAAAATCCATGTTTTCACAGTAGAGTGTTTGAAGCGAGTTCTATATGGGTACGAATTCTTGTGAATGTTTATCGTAGTAATACCCAAATGTAATTGAAAACAAAGACGAAAAAAAAAAAAAATTTTTTTGGGTTGTTGCATTGGATTCTGATTCGACGCGTTAAAAAAAAACTTACAGAGGGTACAGACAAGCCCTTGACTGCTAAGTGATCCACTGGGAAAGCTACAGGCAATGTCCATAATTCACTGTAAGTTATGTACAAAGCATATTTGATTTCTGTGATGTATTAGTTACAGTACGTAAGACAGTTCTTTCTATCGTTAGTTGTTTACTTTCTCTTCACTGAGGTCGTGTCCATTGCCCCATGATCAGGGGCTCTATGTGTACGCATCCCTGTGCGTGTGTGGGCCAAAACTGTACAATTAAAAACAAGGCATTAAACTGGCTGCTATATGGGACTATGTGAGAACCACTTAGAATGAAAAAAATAATACAGGAAATAGAAAATTATTGGTCCCTGCCATGTACAGTACAGTCGTCAATTGAAAAAGAGCGGTTAGGTAATATGGAGATTTCTTTCTCACTAATGTCAAGAATATTAATCGTCATAGTATGAATTTTTCTTTACTCAGTGTGCAAATAATTTTGACAGTTTAATCCGAAAATTATGCATGAACTGGTGTGTAATACAATTGCAGATACTACATGTATCAAATGAAAATGTAGATTGTTCACATTATGCAAATACTTGATCCAAGAAAAGAAAGAAAGAAAGAAAAAAAAATTGAACAACTTGCTTAACTACCAAGTAAATCAAATTCAGATCTCATTCAAGGAACAAACATGTCATTTGATCTCCCTTTTTTTTGTCAGGTACATGGAATTTTGAAAGGATCAAAACTAGTGAATATTGGATATGATTTCCAACCCTTCATTATAAACAACATAAATGTAATCATAAGAGAAATTGGTAACAAGGTTTTGTGTGAAGCATTATGTTGTGATATTACATGGGTAACAAATGGAGATAACAATAGGTACCCTCCCCCAAAGAATCCCCCCCCTTTGAGAAATACGGCCTGGTTACTTCAAATGCGATAAGCACAATATATTCAATGTGCACTGCGTCTTGTAAAACAGACCAGCATAGAAGCATGTATACGTTCAAGTGTTCTTTTCTACTAATGGAAGGCATTACAGAGCATCAAGTCGGATGACATCTTTTCCTTGTTACGGGGGGGTATTCTTTTGTGAAGGACAATACTACACGTTCATGTTTCTACTGAGGTTGTAGTTGTACATCAACCACGAGGAACTTGACTGAAAGAAAGATAAGAAAAAGGAAAACCTCTTCTCAGGTGACAGACAGTATCATTGTTTAGCTAGTTTAATTTTAGATTTGGCTTGAAAGAATCCTTTTGTTTTGCTTAGTTTTGTTTTCTTAGTATCAACATTTTTTTCATCCATAAAACCTAGACCAATTTTTAACAAAGTTTAAAATTAATAATTATTAAAACAAAAGAATGAAAGGGTTGCTGTTCCTGAACTTTAGAACCACTTTGATTACTTAAAAGGGTTAAATTATCGTATGTCTAATAAAGTTTTAACATAACCTTAGTTGTCAGTCCAATTTAGCATTAATGCAAGTTTGTGTTGCACAAAAAGTGATAGTAAAAAAGAGAAAAAAAAAAGCCCCCCTTTTGATCCACAGAATAAATCAACAAGTCATTGAAAAAAGAAGAAGAAGTGAAAGTTTCAAGAGGTCACACACTCAAAACTCTCCATGATGTGACAAGCACATTGTGATTTTGAACAGGTTGTAAGCCCTATTTGACTTTTGGAAAATTTAACTCCTGCTGTTGTAATTATGGAGTGTTAGAAATGTTTTGGTTTCTTTTTCCTTTCTTTTCTGTTATTATTAGTTCTAGTTTTACATGCACAAATACGCAAAGTTGATTGGGAATTTATTTAGATTATCTGTCGTTCTGTACTTTTCCTGTTAGGCCCTGTGAGAGTAAATGCTAGGTGGGCAATACAACCCAAGGGGTTTTTATTTTTAAGGGAATTTTATTAACTTTTAGTTCAAATTCATATTCATAATCATGGTAATATTATTAATGGAATGTATTATCCTGTACAATACCGTGAAAGGTTAATTCGGCCTATTAACAACCAATAAAGAATATCTAGATACGTAACATTCCATAAACTGTATCGCGTTTGTTAATTGTTTTAATTTTGTTGAGACAAATGGTTCAACCGGGTGATGATCGACGGAGATATCTTGATTTGATTTTTTACACCCATTGTTCAGATTTACCCACTTCTCTATATTGTTATGTGCCCCTTCAATTACCTCCATTGATCACCTCTTTTTCCTTCCTGTCCCCCTTTTTTTGTTGACTAATTATCATTTGACGTGATTTGGCTATATATTTTTTTAGTTGTTTAAAGGGTAGAGACAGAAAATATCCACTTTAATTTCAACTTTGAAATCAGAAACAGTAGCTTATAATTTCTACAATAATACATGATATTTGTTACAAACATATATTATTAATACAAGATGAAAAGCCTAATTAAACTAAATAAATAAATAATAATAATTAAAAACAAAAAAGATCAACTTTTTGGTTTTCATTCATTATTCTTTGCTATTGTATCTATACTTGCTCTATAAATCTAAGCCGGTAGATTCGATTTCATCAAGTTTTGTTTGAAAATAGTAGCCCAGTTTTGGAATTTGAGGGGGGCTTGTGAACTTGTCGTGATTTATTATTCTGTCTTTCGGTGTTTCATAGATGTTGTTTGTGATACTTGTTATGGAATTATCGGAAGTAGACCCGGCCATTGGGGTATAGAATTCATCAAATGATTTTCGAGGTAACTTTATGTCTTTTAATATTTGTAAACTATCTTCAATCAAGTCTTGTAGTTCAAATTTAAGTTCGCAATCCTGCAAGTTGTTTACTTTTGACTCCATAGTAGCTAGTTTGTCCATAAGAACATTGTCCTCACGAGGCAGCACAAGCGAAAGTGTATCACCCTTTTGTCTTTTATGATTAATCGAAGGTGTGGATGGGGTAGGTAAATCATAATGATGCAAATCGTCACTGTCTGTGGAAGTGTACGATCTTTTCTTTGATGTGGAGGTATTCTTTGTTTTCCTTGTATAGGTGAAAGGTGATTGTAATTGTAATTGTAACATTGACATGATTGAATTGAATTGAAAGAAGTGATGATAGATAGATATAGAAGAAACAAGCAAATTATTAAAAAAAGAGGAAATATGGTTGAAAAAAAAAAACAGAAATTAGAATTGGAGAATATTAATCTTATTATATATACTATTGGAGAGATATACATTATTCTCTCTCATCCATAGCATTACCCTGAACTCCCTGATTTGTGTAATTAATTAATTAACTAATTATAATAATAATAATAATATCACACACGTTTGTGTCACTGCTTATGTAATCAGCATTTTAATAGCCCAAGAAAAAAACAACTATCATCATCAAGTTGCACAAACAAAATCAACTGCTTCAATTTTTTTTTTTTCTTTTTTTTTTTTTTTTTTCATCACCAAAAAAGTATATTAACATTCCCCTGGCCAACAATAATCAACAACCCAACAACAACTTTGACTATACAACTCTATTACACAGCAGTAATGACTCAGACCAGACCAAATAACTACTAAACGATGTCTGTATAGAAGAATACACGTCTGTTATCTTTGTATTAACAACTAATTAATTGTTGTAAGGGAACTGTTCCATGTTTCATTTACATGAACTAAAATTTAAATATAGAATTTCAGTGATTAAGTTTCATCTTTGCTTCATTGGATGTGTCCTTTTTCCATCACCACTAAAAGTCTATAAATAATACACATGTTTTAGGATACTTTTTGAAAATTTCAAGATGTGAATCATGAATTCTTCATCGCAATGAGATAATACGCGTATGTGATGAACAAGATGAAATAAGAACAAGAAATGATACACACGTTTAAACTCGCAAAACTGCTTTAGTATTCTTTCTTCATCTTATATGTAGTTGAAGTTAAATTTGAGTATACGTAATACAATATTGATTACGGAATCATTGTAAAGCCCCTCACGTAATAAACAATGATTAATATTAGACAAGGCTCTTGTTCTCCATTTCATTATGTAATGGTGATTTTATCCTTATTGCACTTTCTTCTCTCTCTTTTTTTTTTTGGTCTTTTCATTGATGAAGCATATGTTTGGATTAATGAGAAGCTCAAACCATGCATACAATAAGAAGGTAGCATGAAATAAAGACATTCCCTTTTTTTTTTCCTTGCTTTATTAGGAAATTTATTGCATTCTCTTAGTACATGAAATAGTTGTGGATAGAAGAATTTGCAATTTGTTGAAAAAGTGTACTGCAAAAGAAACTTTTTAGTGTCCCTTTCTTCATTGTAGTTGCTATTGTTCAACCTCCCAGCAAAATAATAAATACTGAGGATCAGAAATGGGTATCCCCTTTTCGTTCATACATAATATCAGCGATATTCAATGCCAAGTCATCTATTAATATCTTACCATGTCACAAACACACATAAGCATCATGATTTATACAGTTGATAAATTTCTAACTATAGAGCGACACGTGATAATAAACGAGTGGAATTATGCATGCATGCACTTTGTTGAAGAAAGGTAAAAAAAGTTTCTTCTGGGATAAATAAGACGCGTTCATGATCAAAAGATTTAACGATTAACATTCTCTTTGGTTGAATACTGCATTATTCATTTACATTACATTACAGTTTAATATTTTTACCTTATTTTTTTTTTGGATTGTAAATCCCCCTTTTTTTGATTCTTTGTAATGTATGCAGTGAATAAGGTGTGGTGGTGGTGGTGGTGGTGGTGGTGTTGTAAGCATTGTTGATTTATATTGCTGATTGTTCTCTAGCCCCACCACCTTCTCATTTTTACGTTCACCCTCATTTCCTTTCCTTTATAGGATTATTAGCCCATGTATGTCTTCCAATTAAAGTTCCAGCATTGTCTCCTTTCATTTAGTTCTATACATATTTTTGAGTTGATTTTTGATGTCTTTGTTTTCTCTGGTGCTCTTGTGGGTAGTGTTGTTGACACAATACTATACAACAAAGGGTTGTTGATTTCACCACAACCACAGAAACTCACTTTCTCTTTAGGTTATTCCCGTTATATCTTTAATTCACTATAATGACATCGGTTACCGCGTTCCATTCAAGGGTAGATTGGGCTTTTTTTCTTTTTGTTCAACAAATACAAATTCAACTATTACGTACTTGTGTTTTCTTTGCTCATTTCTTACGTTGATACTAAAACAATGTTAGATAAGAATTACTAAAATCAGGTCATTTAAACATTCCCCTAGCCGCTTAGTTTTGCTTCCTTTATTTTAGTTGAAGTCGCTTCGATATTTTAGATCAATTAGACTAAAAAAAAAAAAGAAGAAAAATTACGCCAACCTTAACTTGTCGAGCATGCAATTGAACACTAAATAAAGAACAAGAACAAAATTGATAATTAATCTAGGGTTTAGTATCTAACTCGTACCACGTGTTGAAGATTATTCATAACATATGTCGCACATTAATTGAAATTATTTTGGTCACGTATTATGAATTTAACGACACTGAAATCCAAGTAGAAATTTGATAACAGTTCTAGAAACAGGTTTCTTACCCTGAGCTCATATTGATATTCTCTCATGATCGTAGTGTATGCACAGTAAAATGCCCTTCATAAAAACGCGTCAAAATATTTGAAATTTTTTTCACAAGGATTTGTGCCAAAAAAATTGCAAAACTTTACTGCACAAAGAATTAGTTAATTAAATCAAGAAATTGATTATCACAGGAGATATTATGATCATACAAACTATAGCATTAGATACAATAGAACCAGTTTTGCTAGTGTTTTAATTTTGTTTCGTAGATATTCTAGAAAAATCCGCTGTTTCTTCGTGCATGGACCCAAATCGAAATCAAGCACACCATCAACATCACCAGTCGATAATTGACGTTACTAGAACTTAATCTGGATGAATGATATACCTAATTGATATTTAGTGAGCTTGAAGGATGATGTTGTGGTTTCTGATGTTTGTATAATTGCAATTCTGGTGACCAGTTTATCTTTCAGAATGCTAAAAAACTCAAAACAGACATGTGATTGGCTACCAGGCATCAGAATAAAATAGACAACTTGCCCAAAAATACCTCTAGTCGTATCAAAAAAAAAGTAGTTTAATCAATTAGATCTAATTCAAATAACCAGTCAATCCATCCAAATTTCTCGACTCGTGCAGATTTCCCACTTTATTCGGAATGTAGATACAGTTCACATGATCCTCACCCCGATTAGCAAATGACATAGCATTTTATTCAGAATGATTTTGGATGGCTATGAAACTATATCCTTCGTTCATGAAAACGTGAAAGAGGTCACGGTTCTACTCAAAACCATGCCTCTTAGCTAGTTTTGTTACCATGACTGTGAGTCGCCAAGTTGAAACGAGGAAAAAAAAAAATTTATAGCGTCCAATCTTGAAACTGAAACTCAATCACATTTCCTTCACCATTTGAGTTCACGAATAATGACTAGTCTGACAGAATATATGACACCACAGCCTACTACAGTTCAAGATGTATCACTGGTGATTAAAATTAAGGGTCAATTAGTAGATACTCACACTAGATGTAGCCACTATCACACGGATGTTGACGTCATTGCCATTAAGTTCCTATGTTGCCCCACATATTACTATTATCCATGTTTCAAATGCCATCAAGAATCAAATAACCATGAAGCCAAGAGGTATCCTATATCAACTACCAATGAAAAAGCTGTACTATGTGGTAATTGCTATCATGAAATGACGATTCAAGAGTATCTTGATTGTAACTACAGCTGTCCCGCATGTGAACACCCATTTAATCCTGGATGTAGAAACCACTACCAGTTGTATTTTCAGTAATAATATTTAAGATAGACTTGTATGTAATTATGTAATACATTCTGTGATTCAATGGTACACTGAAATTTTTGGACCAGTGTTATGTTAGAACGATCACCCAGAATTCAAAATGTGATGAGCTGCGGCTAACGTAGGATTGATTGAAAGTGACTTGGCATAGCCGGAATTTTGCGACAATCATGACAAACTTTATTGTAAGCAGAAACAGAATAAAAAGACAGAAAGTAAAAGCGAGAAAGAGAGAGAGAGCAAAAAAAAAAAAGGTGAACAAGATCACTTCAATTTAATTCAATTCAATTTAATTCAATTCAATCTGTTCTCTATAAAAACAACCTCGTTGTATTAACAAGAATTTCAATTTTTTTTTAAAAGTGATCATACACATCAGTGAAGAAACAAGTTTAGTATAATTTATTTGTCAGTTTCATTATAACCTATCGACTTCCAATCTTGCTTATCTGTTAAACGCCTTATTGTACTACACTCCTTCATACCAGCACTATTGTTTTATTAAATCAAATCATGTCAACTACAACAACTCCAGAATCACTTTCAATCCCTCTTCCAAAGACCTCAGTAATTATATCTAATTTAAATAAAGATGATTTCATTCAAAATGGAAGCGATACACTGAGCTTACTAATTGCATCAAAGAAGTTATCATTGGCTGATCAGATTAAATTATTGACTTTGTACTATGAAGATGATATGACTGGGAAAATCACCCATTGGTCAAATCTACCATTTCTTGGAAGAATAGTTATTATATTCAAAGAGGAACTGACTGCTGAAAAGGTCTACAATTACCTTTCTGGTGAACTACAAAAACATACAGAGTTGAGTTATGTGAAACCTCATTTACAAGAGAATTTATTAACTAGAAGTAAATCCAATGATAACTTAATAGAGGGAGAACATTTGAATGTTAAAAAGAGTTTAGACAATTTTAAGAGTTTATACTCTAGTAATAATAATGATACAAAGAATGACTTGAAAGATTATAATGAACCTAAACCAGCAAAAGTTGACACCGATTTGTCAGATATTCCTATCGATAAAGATGAATTCCCCTCTTCTCCAACAATTACATTCAATCAATCGTTTTAGTAAGCTTATTGTCATTTTAGGCTATTTAGGTTACGTTTTATTTCAGAATACATATAAATTCGCTTATCTGCTCATTTAGGACTTTACGATTTACTCATTGACTTTTCATATAGAATTATTAGATCGTTCAAATAAATATGGACATGTAGAACGAAATTGAGTAGTATTATTTGACAACCATAATATACTCTAGTCAGGACTGATTTTTGACTTTTTACCCAAATCATTTGAACTAGAGACTACATCCAATGTTACGTTTACTGCTGGTGATGTTGTGCATTGACACACTTACAAGTTTTTGTGAAAGTAGTGTGTACTGGCGAAAAATCAATTTATCACGAGAACGAAACTCGTTGTTCCACCACCAAAGGAGGAAAGAACTTGAGGGAGAGAACGAAAAAAAAAGAAAAAATTCCAACGTTAACTTTTGTTTCGAAACATCTCCAGACCAATACCAACACAGTATCCACCTCCTCCAATGAAAGTTGCCAGTGTATTAAGTTGGTCTTTGTTAACCATACCTACTGCATTTGCGTCACAATCTTCAGAAAAGGAAGCAATTGTATATCCTTTGAGTTATCCAAATGATAAGCAAGTCAATTTGTCCAAGAAAGAATCATTAATTTATATTAATACTTTCTTAAATGCAGACCAATCATCAACTAAATTGAATGACAATGATGATTTAATTGAATTAATCAATGGTTTGTATTCAGGTTCTTCACTGGCACAACGTAGCAAGATTGTCATTTCTGTCAAGGGAGAAGATTTGGATCTTGACAAACCATCTTTTAAATCCCATCACTTGCCACAAAAGAAAGTTGCCAAAGCTATTAATCATTTGGCTGGTGAAAAATTTAGATTAACTCCAGAAATGACTTATGTGACTGATGATAATAACAGTGAAAACTCAATTGTTCAATTTTTCAAATATTTTGACCATAGATTGGATTCTATTTGGAAAAATTTCACTGAACATCATAAACAAGAAATTCAAGGTTACTCTCCTACAAATGATAAGATTTTCATTAATGAATTATCACAATTGATCCATCTTAACAACCGTGAAATTGACAACAGAAATTGTGGTTTATTAGTTGACAATATAAGACACTCTTGCGAGGGTCCATCTGAAGTTTTCTTTATTGAATTATCATCTTTGGTTTCTATCAAGAGAAAAATCGGTAGTGATTCACAAACATTCATTCATTCAAAACAAGTCTTGATCAATTTAATTGAAAAATTGAATGAAAAATATGATGTTTTGGTCATCTCATATCCAAATTCAAAAGATTTACCTCATTTGAATAAGAGAACAATTGAGTTATCTTCCAGATCTTTCCAATACGGAAGTGAAGATGCTTGTGAAGTTGCCACCAACAGTTGTAACTCACATGGTAAATGTAGACAAAATGGTGAATATTGGTCCTGTTTATGTGAACCTTCATTTAATAAAACTACTTCAAAAACTACCACTTGGGTTGGCTATGATTGTTCTAAGAAAGATGTTTCTGTTGAAGCTAATTTGTTCCTTTGGACAACAATTGCATTAGTTGTTTTATTGGTTGGTGGTATTAAATTGATGTTTAGTATTGGCAACCAACCATTACCTGGAGTTTTAGATGCTGCAACTGTTCCAAAGAAAGGTAGCTTGTAAGTGGACTAAATAGGATTTCTAGTTTAGATATATAAAGCAACATAAAAATACAACAACAACAATAACCACACGTCTAAGATCTTTAAATTGTAGGTGAAATGTTTCAATTTCCGTTTTAGGTAGTGGCGTGAATCAGCTAATTTTTAAAACCCCAATCTCAAACAATAACAGCGCAGCCATAGAACCATAAAAAAAAAAATTAAAAAAATCAAAAAATAATAGAAACGACGACAGGGGATTATTTTAAACCCATTTTTTTTTTTTGTTTTGTTTATCACCATAGACTTGTATACGTTTTTCAGATCCTAATATAACCAAAAACTATCATGATATTCATTAGACGATCTGTACTTACTACTGTAACATTACTAGGAATATTAACCGTCATTTATTTAATGACAACTTCCAATTCCACTTCAATTGAACAATCATTATCAAATATTTCCAACCTTTCCAAAGAAGATGTTTTGAAATTCACTAAACAAGATACAAATCCTCCATCAACACCAGATCTTAAAAAAGATGAAATTGTTTCTGAAGACAGTAATGGAGATGAACAACAGGTTGAATTTACTGAAACTCCATTTATGCCTAAAATGGCCAATGAAACTTTGAAAGCTCAACTTGGTAATGCATCTTGGAAATTATTTCATACTATTTTAGCAAGATATCCTGATAAACCAACTGTTCAAGAACGTAATACATTAGAAAATTATATTCAATTGTTTGCTCAAGTATATCCTTGTGGTGATTGTGCTCGTCATTTCCAGAAATTATTAAAGAAATATCCACCTCAAACAAGTTCAAGAAAAACAGCTGCTTTATGGGGATGTCATGTTCATAATATAGTTAACGAGAAGTTACATAAGGATGAATATGACTGTACCACCATCTTGGAAGATTATGATTGTGGATGTGGTGATGATGAAAAGGAAAAGGATTACACTTTAAAAGGAGAAAGTATGGAACATTTAAGACAAATTAAGATTGACGAAAAGAAAGATATTCAAAAAGGTGGATAAAAGTGTTGTATATTCATTTTAGTTCTTGTATTTGATATCAATTTATTATTACAAAAATATACTCGTAATTGTCTAATCGATTGTAAAATTTCCCCTTTCTTTGCAATGACTACATAATTGTGCAACAACCAACCACATCCGAACGTCTATTACCACTATAGTGCTGCTTTAAAGCCTTGTATTTAGCAAATTTATTTTGATCAGGGGGTAAACTCCAATTGTACGGAATTAAATAGTCAGGGGTTTCCTCTACATAATTAATAATTAAGCCACTCGCAGTAGAAGCAGGAATCCTTTCTCTTTGTAATGCCTCCGTCAATCTGTTATTAAACTCTTGAACTCTTTTTAACCGAATAACTTGTATCTGATAATCAATATCACTCATTCTGTTTGGTGGATCTTTTGTGATGTATAATCGTTATATGTAACAAAAATAAAACCATGTTAATTTTTACATCAACGAAACATGCGAGGTTGACTAAAAAAAATAAATAAATAAATAAGGATTAGTTCTTGAACGCAATGCACGACTTTGCACGTGATGCAACATTACTGGTTTTTCTCAAAGCAGATAGCTGATTTGATATAAGAATGAGGTGGTATAGTTGTGTTGGGAGGATTGAGAGTAGGAGTGATGGTTTTTAAAATAGAGATGATGCTATAATGTTGTGTTGTTTAATTTATGTTAAATTATGAAAGGAGCGGCTGGTGATTGAAGTTTCTGTTATGATTCTAAGTGGTAATTATAATAAACCTGAAACGATTAGTAGAAACGACCAGTTGTAGGAACAACATAGAGCACTATCAGCTATCATTTTGATAGCACGTACAGTATAAGATCAGACATTCTTGCAGTGTTAGGTTTTTACGACCCGCAGCATATTGGCCGGTCGTGCAACGTCTTATTTATTTTTTTTTTTTTATGTTTTTTTCCGTTTCCCCAAAGAATGACAGCATCAAGAATGCATAACCAAAATGTTCATGTTTTTCAGATTGCATTGACATCCACCACACCATTAGGTATTTAGAATGACGAATTATATTGTTTGTTTAGCTCATTTTTGTGAATTACATGGACCTACTGTTATAATATGCACACAAATAACCACAAAAAAATTCCTTAAGGAGAACTTACTTTCTTCTAATTCAAGACTAGCCAATTGTTTATCATGTCAACTAATACTACCAAATTCTTCAGTTAACCTTACCACACCAATAGAAAACAATAATAATGATGGTAAAAAAGAAGAAGAAGAACCAAAAGTATCTGTATCAACCCATTATCCTGCATCCAGTAAACGGTATTCTGCATTGACAAAATTGGTGATGAAATCGTTATCGGTAGAGACTACTTCAGAATTATCTAAACCTATGTTTTATGGTGATGCCATAAATGGATATTGTATTAATCAAATATTTAAGATTGAGGATATAAATGCTAGAGGAGGAGAAAGAAAATATAGTTTAATGATTGTTAGTGATGATGAATTTGAGTTGTTGAATAATTGGGATATTCTTCAGATGTATTTGAATGAAATAATTGAATTAATTCAAAAGAAAGTTATTGATTGGAATCAGAGAAATGAAGTATCACTGAAATTCAATGCAGATGGAAGTGTGAAAAATGGAAATGTGTTAGATAATGAGAGATTTCTTCGAAGAAGTTTAAACAAACCTAGATCATTGACTGAATTAACTAATGATGATGAAATATTTGTCAAATTGCATTTATTGGCAACAGAATTGTTGAAAGATATAAATAAATAAATGAATAGATAAACAAGTAAACGAACTAAAACAACAACAATAACAATGTCTAATGGATCTAGTTGAGAAGAGATTGTAATTTTCCTTGGGAGTTTAAAGTTTGAAGATCTGAATTACCACCAATGTGTTTTCCATTAATGAAAATGTTTGGAACAGTACGTTGACCAGTTATTTCTTGTAAAGCATTCTGGATGGTTGACCCATTACTTAATGTATCTAATTCAATCAACTTGAAATTTTGATTATATTTGGACAACAAGTCTTTAGTTGAAGAACAATAAGGACAGTAACTCTTAGAGTAAACAACCACTTTATTTGAACTAATAGTTGATTCGATATCTTTCTTCAACTCTGGACTCACTGGTTCTGATTTGAACCAAGATGTAAACCACTGAAACATTATTGACGATAAGGCAAATTGGGGGAAATAGTAAACACGTCAAATAAAGAAAGAAAGAAAAAAAAAATTCTTCTTTTATTAAAATCTCTATAATTGAAGTGTCGTGCGAATGTACCAATATCCGTTTGCTTGACTACCGGGATAATTGCCAAAACAAAGTAAACTCCCCATTAGTGACTGTGTTGTAAAGCCTAAAGATATTATTATGGATAGGATTAACATATGAGGTTTTGTTTGTTAACTGGTCTGACAGTTTTATTACTTTGTGAAGGACAAACTTGTGGATAATGGTTAGATTGGTAGCTCTATATAGGGAATGATTATTATAATGGAAATCATTTTACAATAGAAATTACTTTAATTGAAATAAGCCCCTGTAATGATACCAAATTTTGAATTGACTACTTCATAATCAATAATCTAATCTCAAATACTTATCGCCGGAAGATGTTTTTTTTTGCAACAATTGCTTAACGATTTAAGAATCCACTAATCACCATGAGTTGGATTTTAAAACACTAAAATAGACAAAGAGAAATGGAAAGAGGAGTCAAAGTGGATGACAGTACTACTTTATAGAAGTCTAGTTACAGTTTAAGAAATTCCCTTTTGTTCTAGTTCTGATAATTAATTGTTGCAAATTGGATACAACAATGTCTACAACCGATCAAACCTGAAATATGATACAAACCTATCCATGATGATCCTGTTTTAATTCTCAAGACTACATCAAATTACCAAAAGGGAATGTAAAATTAGAGAAAAAGAGGAAGAAGCTTTGAATAAGAAATTACAACTCTTAGAATGCTAAATATGAGAAATCGATCTCACTTCCTAGAGGAATATCAGCAATTATAAAGAATAAACTGATGATATAGGAACTAAACTTGGAGATGATATAGAATCTTTCGGCATTAAAGTCAACATGGCTAATCCTTTTATGTATAAATTAAGAGTATTAGTGGATTCTATTGATGAAAACTAGATCTTTTGACCAATTATTCCCATTCCTGATGTATACTAATGTAGTTTTTTAAATGATGTGACTTCACTATATGGAGAAATGATGTTATTGTGGGCAACATTACAGGAATTACTTGCTATTGAATGTTTCGATTCTCTTACATAGTTACCATTTTGTTCGACCTTTCTTGTGTCTATTAAAATAACTTGTTTGTTTATTGATACATAAAATTTCAAAACATCTAACTGTTAAACATCTACACTTTTAATTTCTCAACCAGTTCAACAAGGTCATCTTTTTCAATTTGTTTGACTAAATCAATAACTGAATCATCCAAACTTCTTAATTTCATACCAATCAATTTCTTAGATCTTTCATCATTTGGTTTAACAAAATCAGATTCTTTAATTGGATTAGGTTTAGGTAATTTTGATTTCCAATTTGGGAAATTATCAATTATAATTTGAATCATATTATCATTAGTAATTTTATTTGATTCTAATAAAATTCTTTGATTTGAAAAATTTTCATCATCAATAGCTTTATTATGAATAATTGCAACATCTCTAACATCAACAGCACCAGCAGCCATAATTGGAATTTCATCATTTGAATTTAATTTTAATAAACTTCCAATCATTCCAGAAGTTGAAGGTTGAGAATTTTTAGTTATTTCAGTATCAAATTTAACTGGTCCAAGAATTAAACTTGGCATAATTGCAACTAAATCAAATTTTGGTTTTTCATGTTTAATAAAATTCCAAGCTTCTTGTTCTGCTAATTTTTTAGCTGTAAAATATGCCATTGTTCCATTAATTTTACCTAATTCATAAGTTAAAGGTGACCAATCATCATCTGAATATTCTCCATTATATCCAAATGCTTTATCTGGTCCAATCATACTAGCCAGTGATGATGTTAAAATAACACGTTTAATATTTGGTGCATTTTCTTTAATACTAGTTAAAGTATATTTGATGATATTAATTGAAGGATCAATGATTTCTTTAGCATAATCATCAGCAGTAAATTTAACCACCAGAGCAGTATTAATAAATGTTGTTGCTTCTGGATGCTTTTGCAATATTGAATCTAAAGCATTTGGTTTATCAAGTTCAGAAACTATTTCAAATGATAAATTTGATGTTGGGAATAATTTAACAAGTTTATCCTGTGATCCTTTAGATCTTACAATAGCAATAACTTTACGATCTGAAGATAATAATTCACTAAGGATATGTTGACCTACATATCCACTAGCACCAGTGATGAAAATTGACATAATGAACTGTTGTTGTTGTTGTTGTTGATTTGATTGACAAGACAAAAAAAAACCAGGAACAAATAACCAACGATGAAGAAGAAGAAGTTATGATCTTTTGGGGGGATCCTTTTATACTCAGCAAGAATTGCCCTTTCTTAAAACATAAAGTATTATTAAAGATTGACATGTCGAAATTTTTGGCTAACATTCCCGAATTTCCAATTTTCCTGTATATAAACCAAATGGGTTTTTGTGTTGTATTTCCGTGTGAAATATTATTTTTTTTTTTTTTGTTTTGTTTTTAATTCCGATAATGACATGTTTCGGGATTTAAAAACTTTTAATTCCCTCAATATAATTCCGTATACGATTGATTATTCCAGTTCACTTGCCACCATATGGATACGTTAATGCAAATGCAATACGGGGCGCCCGTTTTCTTTGTCCCTACCCATCGGGATACCCCCCGCCAAAAAGCGGACTAATTGTCAATTTAAGGTTCATCTCGGAGTACCTACGTTCTTGAAACACAGAACCAAGAAAATGAAAAGAAAAATACAATTATACATTTTCATAAACTATGAACTATGAACTATACATATTTTTCAATTTTTCAATTTCTTTCTTATTTTCCTTTTCCAAAACCGACAAGTTTCTATACAGGAATGAGCCGAATTCACTAGGATCAACCAATTTACTTCCTCTTCTTTCCCTTTTCCCACTTCCTCCAATACCGCTACCAGTACCAGAATTAGAGAGACCACCACTTCCACTTGTACCGCTGGTATCTTCTCCAGATAATTCACCAATACGTGGTCTTGTCACTTCATCAATAGCTGAATCATCCTCAATTGGTAATTTGCTCTTTAATGCTCCTCTATCATCATGATAATTAATGTCACTTTCTGGCTTGAATGGAGGTGATCTACTAAATAAAGTATCCCAATCAACTTCACCTTTGAAAAAATCATGATTTTTAATTTCTTCAGCTCCTCCTTCATAACCCAATCTTTCTACTGGATTCAATACTAACAATTTGGAAATCAAATCGTTTGCTAATGTTACATCTTCACCGTCTTGATTATCGGGCCATGTAATTGAACATTGAAGAATATTTTCAAATATCTTATGAGGGGAATCACCATGGAATGGAGTTATACCATAAATCATTTCATACATGATAACACCAACAGACCACCAATCACTAGCTTGACTTTGACCTTCACCTTGAATAGTCTCAGGAGCAAGATAATCAGGAGTACCCACAAACTTAATCACATTCTTTTGACCACCTTCTTCGGCGGTTATTTCTGGATTATACAATGCATAATTCGTCGTTGACATTTGATCATCATCCAATATGGCAAACGATGATTCCGATGCTGTTCGAGGAATTATTGGTTTGAGTACTGGTGAATCAACGAACCCACTTGATCCTGATCGACTGCGTAATTTGGCAAATGATTTCTGTGGTGGAGTTGAAGTGAATGAAGATTCCAAATATGCCAACGTTGGTGAACTACAAGATTGTGGAGATGGTGGGATCCCCAAAGGCGCTTGTGCTGTTGCTGTTGCTGCCGTTGTAGTTGTAGTACTGGTGGTGTTTGTTGAGTTTGTAGTAGTAATGGATGTCGGTGTTTGTTGGGTTGGGGTTCTAGGGAAATCAACACTTGGTGATAAGGTGAATGGAGTTATTGAATTTGTCCTTTTGTGGTGGGATTCTTCAATCATACTTCTAAACAATTCAAGACCTTGCTCGTTGGTACTACTTTTTCTATGTTGTTGTTGGGTCCTTTGTCTGCCCACAACTCCTAGTCTTGATAATCCAAAATCTGTCAACTTCAAATGTCCGTTCTGGTCAATTAAAATATTATCTGGTTTCAAATCTCTATGAATGATCCCACGACTATGTAAATCATCAACGCAAACAATAATTTCCGAGATGTAACGTCTTGTCCAATCGACACCTAATGTTCCCAAATTCTTAATCAATGTAGCACAATCACCACCATTCAAATATTCCATGACAATATATAAATATTCTCGTGATTGGAAACTGCTATATAATTGTGCAACATATGGTGAATCAGATTGTCTCATCATAACTGCTCGTTCAGATTTGACATTTAAGACTTGATTTTTTGCAACCATATCTCGTTTCTTCAAAACTTTAATGGCAACCAAATCTCCTGTGATCTTTCTCTTTGCCAAAAATACCGATCCAAAGGCACCTTTACTGATTGGTCTGATAACTTCATAATCCTTGATACCTCCCGTACTCTTACTTTGTGGTTGAGCAGAAACCAATAATGGGGACATTGGTGGTTGCGGTTTGGCACCTGCGCTCTTCAGACTTGAACTAGCTGATGATTGATGTGACAAATGCGTATTCAACGATAAATGTGTAATCTTCTTGTCATCGTGGTTACCACTGGTAGTAGTAATAAATGGAGATGAACTAGGTGTTTCCAAAGTATTCTTCTGCAACGTTGTCAAATTAGTCTTTTCAACATACATTGGTGCAGGTGATAAATGACGTCTCGGAGATGAATACTGCGAATTACTTTCTGAAGATCGCTTCGAAAGATCCAAAGTCTGCATAGATTCTAGTAAATCTTTGGAAGAATTAGTTGTTGCTGTTGGGATTGGAATTCCAGCCGATGACCTTCTTGGTGTTGATGAATTCGACCCGGATCTATTCAACGGCAATGATGAAAATGATGAATTATGCGATTTTAAAAGACTTGTACTATTGTTGCCAACATTATCCTTAAGTAACAAATCCTTAGGAGTCACTGCATTTTCAAGATTCAATAAACTTGGTGTCGTGCTTCGACTTCTACTACTTCTTCGTGGTTTTGGTGCTTGTAAAGTAGGAGCAACTGCTGCAGGTTCTCCCAATACCAGCTCTTCGGACTCAGATACTTCCAAGGCACTATCCCCAAGAGGGGTGCATTCTCGTGAAGTTAAAATCGTTTGGATTTTAATTCTCTCCACAGTCTCCTTTACTGTTTTCAAAACCAACATATCCACTTCATGTTTGATCTTTTCCAGGTACTGTAAAATAGATACCAATCGTGAAAGAGTATCTAGCTTGTCAGAAATCAATTGCTGAGTATCTTCAATAATTTGTTTGATTGCCAAGTCAGAAGTCTCGAGAACCTTTGGATTCATAACCGAGTTTAATGCCTTTTCAGAGGCGGGAGAAAATTCCAAAATATTATCATCGTTATTTGAAGGAGGATTAATCAACAAGGCTTCATCACACAATTCAATAATTCTTTGTAGTATACCAAACGGGAATTTTTTAGAATACATGAGGGATTTATTCTTGGCTTGGAAATTTTTCGTCAATACTTTATTAGCTAATTTTGGTGAAGGAAAATCAGATGTACTAGGCAAGGGAATACCCTTGTACTCTAAAAGAATATGAGATGACAGTCCACTGCTATCTTCAGAAGAACTAGATGAAGTTGTTGACATTAAGGACGAGGCAGGAGATGCAGTTGCAATATGGGATTGATTGGTTAACAATTGTGGTGGAGTACTCAGTCCCAGTATCAGTGGAGATGGCAGTAGTTGACCGGCAATGGCGATACTTTCGGATACCTTGATGATTAAATCACGTTGTTCACTAATGGCATCATGATATTGTTGTAAATCCTCACCAGCTCGATGTTCTAGAATACAGATATCTGAATGCTTTTCAATAAACCAAGCCGGGAAGTAAGTCTCACATATACGACATAATACAGTTTTTGGTGGAGGTACACTATCTTCATCAATAATTCCCTCATTCTTAAGATTGACCAAATAACCTTCAAATATTTCCGCACCAAAACCCAATAAATCTATAAGAGTTGGTGGTAATGTCAAATCCAAATCTATTTGAACAAATGGACGAATGGTCCACATGGAATGAGTAGGTAGTCTGGTTTTTTGATCATTTATTAAAAGTCCCTCGGCTTCTAGCTCCATGACTTCACCATCATTTGATATTTCTGAAGATAGCGTACTAGCAGTTTCACTGTTATCTTCTTCTCCTTCTTCTTCTTCCCCGTCTTCATCCTGCACCTGTGAAGGGTTGACATAGTCGTCGACTTGTGTATAACGAAAATCTTCTACTGAATTATGAGGGGTAAGATAATTAGGTCTGGGTATCTCTTCATCTTCTTCTTCTTGACTGCTATCAACATCCACATCACCATCATTATCATTATCATCATCGTCATGTAAACGAGTTAATGATTTTTTTCTTCTTGAGTGATTGGTGGCAGTGATAAATTTAACCTTGTAACTGCAATCTTCTTTAATCATGGCATCAATGGCAGTATTGAATACTTGAGCATCTTCATTGTTGTTGGCAATTATAATCTTGGAGATATGTCTATTTAATATCTTTTTAATTCTAGTACCAACAATGTGTTCCCAATTTTTACTTAAATAACGCACATTACCATCTAAATCTAATTCCATAACTATTGTTGGATTATTTGACGAGGCCAATTTAATACTGGTACTATCTTGCAGGGTTGAAACATCCTTAGACGAAACAGTAGAAGTAGTGGAGTTTCTAATATAAGAACTAATTGGCATATGTTGTATAACCATAGGACCTGGTCTCTGTTTTAATCTTTCTTCCAAAGATTGCTCTAGGGATGGTTCTTGTTCATGATGCAACTGATCTATTTCTGTGTGGCATGGGGAAATTGATCGATCAGACAAGATATGGTGTAACTCTGGTTTACCAAAAATGGAATCATCAAATAAAGAATCTTTATCTTCATCGATTGGAGTTTTAATTTCGGGAATGTTCGACATAATTGACCAGTGTTATATTGAAAATGTATATGTGGAGTAAGAACCAAAAAAAAAATAATAATAATATGGAGTGGGATGATTCTTTTTTTTTTTTTGTCAGCGAATTGAATTAATATAAATAAGTGGTAAAATAAATAAATTAGAAAAACCCACTGAAATGTGGATAATCTATGAAATTGATAGTACTGTAGAATTAAAGGAAAAACCAGATAAATGATGTATCAATGAGTTAAATTTATTTGTTGATGTACAAATAATCATTGAAATGTTTGTGTAGCCTTTTTTTTTCCCTCTCTCTTTGAGATTGTTGTTGAAGATGAAAATGGGTTATCTTCGCGCTGTGATTAGTTTTGTCTGGACGTCCTGCCGCCCGCCTGTTAAAAAGCCTATGCCTATGCCTATGTCTATGCCTATGCGTGTGCGTTGTATAATTTCTACTTCTTAGTAATTTGATTGTCCAATTATTGACTGCTTCCATAGTTTCCTTAAATTTTAATTACAACCTGATACAACCATCACCAGTATAAAAAAAATACTGCTAATTGTATATTAAACAATGAGTGGCAAATACTACACCACCACCACCACCACCACCACTGAGCCTTGATTGTACACCTGATGGCTTTTGTTCTCTTCACATTTTTGTAAAAATGGCTATAGGTACAGTTTTACTGACTCCTTTTCTTACTCCTATTTATTCATTTATTCATTTATTCATTTATTGTTTTCCCTATTTTCTCCGCATGCGGGTTATATAAATTTTTGCTGTACGACCTGTGTACCATCGTCCCATGCATGCCGCCCTTTTCCCCTCTTAGTTTGCTCAATTCGTTCGACCAATAATTCAAACTCCTACGTCAAAAATACGTCCAATTCCAATCTACATGTCAGAACGGGACGGAAAGGGAGATGAATTTAAAACCAGTCATGCGTTGCATTAGTGTAGGTCGATCGTCCCACCTTCATTCGTGCGTCCACATCTCGCGATCCATATACCCGGTTTTAAACCATGGATAATCATCAACTTACAACTACTCCCCCTTTCTCCACTACAAACCCTTTGAATTACTTACACACCCTCTCTCTCACTCTGATACAACATATAATTACAAAATTACATGAACTGAAATAAATGTTTAATACTACAAACAAGTATACTTAAATAGCTTTTTATCTAAAAAAAAAAATTCAATCAAAAAAAAATAAATCCATTATTCCTATTTTGCTCTTTTTTTTCAAGTTTTATTATTAACAATATTTATAAGATGAATCATTAAATTACATGAATGGGTTTATATGTAGCAGTGTAAATCAAGAACTCCAATGCCAATCATCTAGACTTCTCTTTTTAATTGTTTCCAATAAATCATCATTTTTCTTTTCTTGTTCTTTTAAAAGAATTGATTTAAGTATTTTATTTTCCATTTCTATACTCTTTAATTTCTTTTCCAATACAGATACTTTTTCTTCCAATTCTTTAGAACGTTGTATTAGTTCTTGTTCCTTCAACTTCTTTTTAATTCTAAATCTTGCACTTGCTGCTGTGTTTCTCTTTCTCTTATCTTCTTGAGCAGCCACTGTTGCTACTTTGTCTTCAACTTTTTTATTACTAGTTGTGATTGGTTGTGAAGGAATAGTAAATTGTTCTTGTTGAGGTGGAGTGATATTTGTAAATTGGAAATCAGTAAATTGTGGTTGTTGTTGTGATGGTGGTTGATTATCTATTGGTTCTTGTTTAAGTTGAATGGTTTCTTGTTTTGGTTTGATTGGAATTTGATCATTGCCAAATACATCTAAAGAAAAGAAGTCATTATTGGCAGCTTGTGAAAACAAATCCAATTCACTTTGATCAATTTGTGGTGAAATGGTTGAATCACTGGCAGTGCCAAAATCGATATTTAAATTTTGCAAGTAATCAAAATTCATCTTTAGTTTGATTCTATGAATTCACAAGTAAATAGAAGTGTTGTCAAATCAAATCTTAAAAAAGACAGAAAAGGGTTAGTAGGAGAAAAACTGGGAAATTTGTTGATGGTTTTATATCCTGATCACACGCACTCATTTACTCATACAAACGCAATATGAGTGAGAGAGAAAAAATTTTTTCTTCTTTGTTAATTAATTAGAGCAACGTTTTTTCTCATACATTTGTCTGAGTCAGAAATCCAACAAACTAAAAAAAAAGCAATTTCATTAATAAGCAAAAAATTCTTCTATTGTTTCAAAGTGGTCTATTATTTGCAGAACACTAATCATCTCATGTTTCACCTTTACTCTGCGTTGATTCATATCTACACTTAATCATTTCTACAAGTGTATTACTATCACTCAGATTTACACACAATCCCATCCATCAAAGTGTGACAAGATCTGAATGACAGTTGTTGTTGTTGTGACTCTTTTTTTTTCTGTTTCCGGTTTAATTAACCGCGGCGGCGATATTACTCTCCGGATTTTTTCTCCTTTTTTATCTCAACCAATCACAATACAATTTCTCTCTCTTCTTGCCTGTAAGTACTGCATACAAGTGATTTGTGATTTTCTATTTCTCTCCGCCGTTGTCAGGAGCTGAATCCGGTAATAATCCCGTCGTATCTACACGTATAAACTGGTAGCACATGATATATATATATATATATGTATATATACATACTCATTTTACAATTCTATTTCAATATCAAAATCAATTGATTTGATCAATTTCTCCATCTCTCCTAAATCTCTATATGTAGATTTAGATATTTCTTCTTCTTGTTTATTCTTCTCTTCAATTAATTCTTGCATATTAACTTCCTGAAGTGCTTTTTCATTCTCTTGATTAATCAAATCTTGATAAAACATCTTGGTGGTAGTTTTCAATCTAGAGAATGGATCACCTCCATCATTTTGCTGTTGACTTGATAATGTCTTGTTTTTAATCTCTGCTTTTCTGATATTTGTTGAATTTAATTTTCTATTTCTTTCATTAACCTTACTGATAATTGATTCTTTACTTTGCACATTAGTTGCAGCTTCATGTTCCAATATACTTTCAATCTTTTTCAAATCACCAAGAATCTTACTAACTTTATTGAAATTGCCTTGTTGTTTAGCTATCTGTAATTCATCCATCAATCTGGTCTTTTGTGTAACCGCATCAACTGCACGAATATTACTTTTATCTGCATTCAATTGTTTCTTTCTTTCAATCATGGCATTAATATCTTGATCACTTAAACCTTTTTTGAAAAATGCATCAACCTCTTCAAATTTACTATTCACATCATCTAATAAATCAATCACTTCATCGGTTTTAGTCAATTCTCGAATATATCTTTCAAATTCTTCTTCAGTTATTGGGGAATTGGAGAAAAAACTAATTGGGAAATCTTTGGTTTGGGTTCGATTTTGACTCACTGTTAAATATATATCTAATCTTGTTCTACCCAATTTATATGTTCGATCTTTCTTTAATTTAACTCCAATTATTTTAACCATTCTATATGAATCTTTTCTTGTCACCTTATCTGGTCCAATATTAATTCTTCCAAATGTATCCACAATTGCATCTTCAAATCCAGGATTAAAACAATATTGTTGAAATGTTCTCCATCCAAATGTTATCTTATTTATATCCGCAAGTTTAGCCAATTCTGTAGATTTCTTTTGTTTTGGTTTCTTAACTTTAGATACTCCTCCCCATTGTACACTTTCTTCATAATCATCAAATTCTTCATCTGATACTTCTTCAATTTCTTCTTCTTCCTCATCATCATCATCCTCCTCTTCGGAATATTCATCATAATCAAGATTCCTTCTACTCTTCTTTCTTGAATGTTGTTCTCTTTGTTTTCTCAATTCATTCAATTTATCCTTCTTTTCTGATTTGATCCCTGTTTTAACTCTTCCTGAAACTCTAGTAGGTTCTTCAACAGAACGATATTTATTAGCTTGTTTTTGTTTCTTCATTCTTTCTTGTAAATATTTCTTTTCTCTAAATTTATCCATCTCTTGTTCTCTATCAAACAATATTTGTTCTCTTTCAACTTCTTCCATTTCTTCCAATTCCATTCGATCGTCTTCATCTTTATATTTACCTTCTAAAGGATAAGGATTAATCAATTCTTCTTCCTCTTCTTCTTCGTACTCCTCTTCTTGTTCCAGATAATCTACTTTACGACGTTTTGATAATACAGCATCATCATCTTCTTCAGATCCAGTAGTTGTTTGTTTTCTTTTAGATAATGGGATTTCTTCTTCGGAATCAGATGCATAGGTGTTATCTTCACCTCCAGCCAATGCTAACAAATCATCTTCTAAATCAGACATAATAAAATAATAATATACGGTTTTTTTTTTTCTTATTGATTGATTGATTGATTAAATGATATTCTTGGACCTTGACTCTTTGGATGTTGTTATTTTTTCTTCCAACTTCGTTGATATTTCTCACACCCGCCAACACTAAAAAAAAAAAAATTAAGTGACATAAATAATGTCGTAGAAATGTCGTTTGGGACAATGTCGCTGATTTTATTTCTCGCGACATTGAAAATTACGACTTTTGTTGCATTAGGGTTGAAGCCCTAAAAAATATAACTTACACGTGACCAATCTGGTCACCAAAAATTAGTTAGAAGAGCAAATTGAAAAAAAGTCTACATTATCAAAAAGCATGGAAATTGTGGGGTTGGAGAGTCAATAGATCAAGATCTTGATTTCTTATTGGCCCATTTAGATATCAATCTAGAAGTTATCCGCTGTAGTTTCCAATTGTTCTTGATATTTCAAACTTAAAATCTATTAAAAAAATGACATGTATTAAAAATAAATTATCAAAATATCACATCATCATGCAACTAAAATTACACTTGATTATTTTTTCACATTTGTAGGGGATTACTCTCTTCATTCATATTGTTATCCACTCTTGTTTTTTTTTCATTCATTAAATAATAATAAAATTGATCATTTGAAGTAGACAATTAATAACTTAACGTAATCTTCTAGCTTCTCTTTCAGATTCCATCAAACACAAGATATCGTTTTCTCTGACTGGACCTTTAACGTTTCTGACGATGGTTCTTGAAGCATCTTCCAAGAATTCAACTCTAACTTGAGTAACACCACCTCTTGAACCGGTTCTACCTAAGACTTTAATAACTTTAGCTAAAGTAACTGGGGTTTTAGCGTCCTAAATTAATACATTTAGTTAGTATATTTTTGAATTCATTCATAAATAGATTTGATCATTTGATATTGAAAATTATCACATACCATATTGTACTGTATTTGATTTATAGTATAGTAATAGAAGGAGGAAAGGGAAAAGGAAAAAGAAGAGAAGATTTTTTTTTTTCAAAGAAGAAAAAAAAAATTTTGATGAATTGAAAATTTCCTACGAGTGTCGTCGCTCACACACACACTCTCTCTCTTCCCATCACAACAGAAAAAAAAAAAAAATTCTGAAGAAAAAAAATCTCAATGTGCAGGATAAAGTCGTGCATTCTCAACAAATAGTAACTATGTAACCTGTAAAGCATTAACGGCTGAATTGTGTAATATAATGAATTAGCTGCAAAAAAATTGTGATTTAATTGGAACTATAAAACATAGCTTTGATAATCATCCAAATGAAATTGGTTTTACTATTAGGATGGTCTATAGTCTGATTAGAATTGGAGTACTTTCTAGATGGGTTCTTCTTATGTCTGGTCATGATGGAAATGATGGAAATGATCTTCGTTACTGTAGAGATTATACAATTGTTGAACAGAAGAGAGAGGTAATATAGTTTTTATATCAATAGTAAATGAGAGGGGTATGATTATTAATCAAGATCGAGGCTTATATTCAAGTAAATGATTCTTGAAAAAGAAAGTATATATATTTTTGTTCAATTTCTGTATTTATTTCGGAGTAAATGTAAAGCCTATTGTTCTACGAAAAAAAAAGAAACAATAAATATTACAAATCAAGGCAATGCCGTTGAAAAATCATTGTACATGGTAATAATCCGCAAATAATGTACAATAGGTACACTTCCACTACACTAAAAAGATGTGATTAAATAGAGAAGTTGATTTAGAGTAGTTTTGGTTGTAAAAAATACATCACAAAAGTCGTGCACGAGCAAAAAATGTTCAAAACTTTAAAACTAAGAAACGTTGGGTTGGTAGTAATGAATTCACATGAGTGTTGCTTGGTGGCCAGTACACCTAATACTGATTACATAATATGAGTTAATTACATGTAATTCGTTTATGCTTGTCCTTGCAGAGGTGACAACATGTAACACTTCCCCTTATACAAGTGTAGATGTAATAATAAATCTAGTTTTATGAGATTGTTGATTTCAATTGGTTGCAAAGCCTTAAATCGTTCTGCACTTCAATCGTAGTATCCAACACTCGTATTAACACAACAGAGATACGCAGAGACTGATAAATATTCATAAGGGGGAATATATTCATTCAATAGAGTAAGGTTTACTATATAAAAGTCCGTTTTGACAATCTCCATAGTGGCAATTAACCAAGGTTAATGATTTGAGAACGTTGTGTAAGTGTCGGGTTCATAACTTCCGACAGTTCCATATTTGACACTGCCGCATGTACTTGTACAACTGCTTCTTTACCGGATAAAGGTCAGATCCTGCAAGGGTCCGTGAGAGCGGCGGCGGGGGGGGGAAGGAAAGTTACTGTTGTGGATAAAAATCAACTACCGGTAATCATTTTCAAGAATGTACCCGTTGTGAATCATAAATGATGTCAATGTATACAAGCTGATCTATTTTGATTGATTCATCCCTTATGGGTCTCTCTCCCCCCAGATTTAGGTATCCAATTTCATATGATGATTGACGCGTGTGAAAAAGAAAAAAAAAGAAATTTTTACAACAATTGACAACACCAACCCAATGTTTCTTTTTTTTTTTTCTGTTGTCCTGTGTGAGTGTTTGTTTGTGCTGAATCACCACCACCACCACATACCCAATAGAACTCAACAAAATTTCGCTTACTAAAGAAAAAAAAACTGAAAATTTAAGAAAAATCTCAAACGATAATCAAATCATACAAAAACCAAATTTGAACTCAAACAAAAATAACCGTTGTCTTCAAAGAATCAGAATATACGATCATGTATGGAATCATAGAAACATTATGAACTACAGTAGAAGGAATCCTCGAAATACCGATAACTCCTGATGGTTTGCATCAAATTCGTTTAGGCAGGGAAACTCTTTTCCTTTAAGCGACATCTGATGATAAGGTTAATTTTTTATTTTTTTTTTCATCAGCTTATTATCCTATCGTGATTCTGTATATGTATTAATTGTATATGTTACATAATGATTTGTATTTAAAAAAAAACAAGATCTCTAATATGACCATCATCATCTAATAGATATTTCTTCTTTCATTAGTTCAAAAGTACTTCTTATTTTGAATGGAGACATGGATGATCTTTCCCCAATGTTGCGCCATATGATCGACCCTTTTTTTTTTTTTTATTTATTTATTTGTTTCTTTCTATTTTTTTCAAACCTGTGATATAGCCACTTGTTGTGATTCATTCTAATAGAATTTAAGCAAAGTTGGATTTGTAGTAGTAAACACCGAAAGCAGCCAAAAAGATACCAACGGCAATCAATGGGAAATTAATACCTGAATCTTCATCAGATTTACTAGCTTGAGCATGTTTGGCTTGAACAATCTTAGCACCTTTCAAGTTACCAAGGTATAATTTTTCCAAGATTTCATGGGCTTCATCAGAATGTCCAATATCATCAAAGGCTTCAGTGGCATCAGTACCAGCACAATCAAGAATAACTTCTTCACCACCTGGGTGTTCATCGATATAACTGGAAATGTTGTAGACTTTACCATTAATGATAACCCATAAATCATCATGGGTGGTATGTTCGGCGACTTCTTCGGCAGTGTAAAGAGTGGTAGTAGTATCAGTATCAGTCATTCTATAAATATTGTTCTTGTTGATTGATTTAAAAAAGAAAAGTCCAAAAAAGAAGAAGAAGTATATATATAAAAATTATTAAACAAGGTGGGAAATTTTTGTGTGGTTTTATACGATAAGTCAACAGAAGAGCGAGAAGAAAAAGAAAAAAGAAAGAAGAACAAGAGGTGGGTTATATGCAGGAAACCAACATTTTTGTTTTTTTTTATATTTAGTTTATTTTTCACAGGATGGTGTAAGAGAAATAGGGTATTTAATTCTCATATGAGTTTAGTTAATTTCCCCCTTTTTTTTTATTAAAAAGCATCCTACAACCCCTCTACGGGTTTAATATGCTTGAATGATACGATTTTTTTTTAGAAAGGGTCAATTTGCTTGTGTGAACTGGAACCAATAGTCGATTCTCTTATTATAATTCAATTTGGTACCCAACTGGCACCTCCCTCACAAATGTTATTCGCACTTTTTTTTTTGTTTATTATTACAAGATAGTGAAATCCTCCACAATGCTTAATATAGTGGGATAATTTTACCCAAAATGGTAAATCAATCATTATCCAACACTATAAAAGATTGAAAGCAAACAGACAGTATATACATAAAACAAAACCAATGGGAGATTTTATCAGGTACTCTCAATTTTAAGTTATCCGCTATTATCTATTACGTAACAAAGTTACTTTTGCTTCTTTGCGCTTAAACTATCTATATAGAACTCAAATCAAAGTCAATACCTTTACTTTTCAATTCCTCTTGTTTCTTTTTCTTAGACTCTTCGAAATTTTCAACCAATTTAGCCCATTCTTTAGCAGATTTTGGTTTATCATGCTTTTCTTTAGCTATTTTCTTCCAAGGAATAACTTTGAATTTCTTTTTGGAATCTTTAAATAAATCTTTGAAAGGTTCATTGACAACTTCACATTTTATTAAATGACCAAACAATAAATAATTATTCATGGTTTCAGCAGCAATTTTAGCAACTTCAAAGGATTGGAATTCTATAAATCCATAATGTTTACTCTTACCAGTTTTCTTATTACGAGATAATTTAAGATTGACTATATCACCAAATTGTTTGAAATATGTCTTTAATTCTTTTTCTTGGAATCCTTCAGGTAATCTTCCAATATATATGACACCAGATTTTGGAGTTTTTTTACTTTTACTTGATTTAGAATCTTCAGTTTCTTCTTCATTAACTTTAATGACTTTATTCACAGAATGACCAGATTTGTTTCCTTTTGAACCATCATTTTCTTCTTCACCTTCTTCTTCATCTTCATCATCATCACTAGATAAACCGTTTATTTCATCATCATCATCATCATCATCACTTTCTTCAGATAATACATGTTCTTCATCCTCACTGGCATCTTCATCATCCGATGATGAAGGTAATTGTAAATCTTCTTCAATTTCTTCAACTGATTTATCACTTGAAACCTTTATTTTTTCAACATTTTCAAGCGCTTTGGAAATAGACTGTTTCTTAGCCATGATTGTAAATATGATTTGGTATATGGGTTGTATTAATTTTATACAGAAATAGAAAATCAGATATTCCGTCTTTGAAATTTTTTTTTTTTTTTTTTGATGTGTGGTATTGGAAATTGAGAGAGAGATGAGATGGTGTAAACACTATGGAAAAAAAAAAAAAAACAGAAGCGTAAATGTCGCAATTAGAAAATGTCACTTGCGACATTGCTGGTGAAACAACAAAAAAAAAACAGTTCATTGTAGCTTAATGGTTGCAACAATTAACCAATCGTTAAACCAATACTTCCTTTTTCTTTTGATAAGAACCGCCCCTTGATCAATAATTAACTAGATTAAACAGATTACATTACAATTATAATGGTTTTATTCTGTTAAACTTATTTCCGCCGGTGGGACCCCTTGAAAAACAAAAATAAGTGGTACGATAAACCCATGATTTAATTCTAGGGTCAATTATTCGGATAAATGTTACAATCAGGCGCTTTGGATATGAAAGAAAATCATTTGACTTTTTTTTTTATTTATTTCTAATTATGATTTGATTTGTGGTATAATTCAAGGTTTAATTCAAGATTACTTGAGATATGACCCATTTACTTTCGGAATTATATATTTCCTGAGCTAAATCAATTTGTCCTCGGTACAATAATCCTTTTTGATTTTGTTCAACATATATTCTTCTCTACAAAAGAGAAGAATATCAGCAATATTTTATTTTATTTTCTTTATTGAAATCAGCAGTTATTATTTTAATAATATTCAATAGTTTAAATGTGACCCGTGCGTGGTTTAAAAGAAATGGATACATCTACGCGATTAAATCTTACTACCAGTAACATCACGACCGTACGATAAACGAAACTGCGGAAACACGGGAGTACTATTTTTTTAAACAAATATTATTTTGCAACATTGACGTCAAATTGGGTTAAAAACATGAATAGTACTACTTTTAGGTAATGTATAATGGTTTAATATAGTTGACATCAATTTGAGGAACCATATTGGTAGCTCAGAAAAAAAAAAAAAAGACGTGCGATTAATAAACCAACTTCAATGCATTAATATACTTGTTAACCATCAAGATTAGGTTTTTCAAAAATTAAGCTTTGCCAATATGGGGCAGAAAGATCAAACATGTTGATTGCATTCAATTCTTGGCTAGTATTTAACAGTTTGTCTATATTATGTAGCATATATTTTGTGTTCTATTATTATTCCTGATATTATTATTATTATTATTTTTTTTTTTTTTTTTTTTTTGCAATTATTTTTCATTCGGATATCTGACTAGCAATGGCACTGATACCCCAATCATAGTAATAACACGAAAAAATTACCAAAGTGGAACAGTAGTAATTGTTACAAGTGATTAATGACTTTATTTCTTTTTTCCATTAAGGTCCATATAGTTTTCTTTTTTTTTTTTTTTGGTTGTTGTCGTAATTATAATAGTCTTTATATATCCAACGTCGGAACGGCTTTTTTTTTTTTCAAATTATCATCTCTTTTTTTTGATTTTTGTTTTTTTTGAAAAGAACGAAACCTATTTCAAAGAATTCATAATCTAAAACATTCCTTTTATTTTTTTTTTTTTTTAAATTTCATAAAGTTATATATCAATGTTTTGGATATTACCAATACTACTATTAACTTTGGGGTTAACTGCAGCCAATAAAAACATTGTTATATGGCATCATACAATCACATACGATACAAAATCTTTAATTTTTGATGATGTAACCATTCTAAAAGATACATCTTGGTCTATTTTAAACAATTATCAATTTGATTATAAAAAAAAATTATTGAATGATGCATCCATGTTTATTACTAGTAAGAGTAAATCAAAACCATTGAAAGTTAGTGGTGAGCATTCACATGCAGAACTTGTCAATAATGGTGTAATTGTTTTTAATTCAAATTCTGCAACTCATGCAAGTTCATATAAATTAAGTGGTAAATCATTTGAAAATAATGGAGAAATGTATCTTTGTACTTCACTGTCGTCACATATTTCTTATACATATCTTAAAGCAAAAGCTTGGGTCAATAATGGTTTAATTGTTCTTTATAGAGATACCAGTCTTAAACATAGAGCCGAGCTTGCAACTGGTCATTCAATAGATATTAGAAATAATGGTCAAATTTGTCTTTTTAATCATATTTTTGCTCAATCTGGTAATATATTAGGTAATGGATGTATTTCAATTGATAAAGCTTCAAAAGTTGAATTGAAAACTAGTGTTTCTGCTAAAGATCAAATTTTTGTTCTTGCTCATTCAACTAGTATTCTATCTGTTCCAGGAGTTCATGAAGGTACATATAAAGTTGCTGGATTTGGTAATGGTAATATAATTTCTATTGGTCTTAAATTAGCAGGTAAAGGAAGCTTACCAGCATGGGAATATAATCAATATTCTGGTGTTTTAACCATGAGACATCTTAGTTATACCAAACATTTTCATATTGGTCAAGGTTATAGTCATGGATATTTTAGAGTTGTTTCTTGTGATACCACTAATGATGCATTAACTTATTCCGGTCCAATTCCTCAAGGATCTACAAAATCAGATAAATGTGCAATTTGTCCAGAAATTGCCCCTAAAGCTGCTGGATCTGAACCAGAAACTTATACCACTACTTATGTCACTATCATTGATGGAAAAGAAACAACAGCTGCTGCTATTGTTAATGTTGAACATAATGATGAAGGTGATGTTCATATTCATTCCATTCCAATAGGTGTGACTACTGATGCTGTAAAAGATCCATTTACTAGTGCTTTTGGAGTAGTTCATCAAGCAGGTGTTGGTGGTATCGGTATTGGAACTTCCACAACTCAAGATTCTAAACCTACTACCGTTCCTGTGAACAAACCAGGTATAAACGAAATAAATTATGCTCCAGTACCAGAAGAATGGGAATTACAACTTGAGCAACAACAACAACAACAACAACAACAGCAACAAAGGAAATATAAAACCTGATACTATTGGAAATTCCCCAAATGGAGGATCCACTACTGGAGATGGAGAAAAACCTGGATTGGACAATCAATCCAATGGAAATTCTGATAATGGAAATTCTGATAATGGAAATTCTGATAATGGAAATTCTGATAATGGAAATTCTGATAATGGAAATGGTGAAACACAGAATCTTACTGGAGATAAACCTGGTTCCGAAAACTCCTCAAATGGAAATGAAAGTTCTGGAAATTTACCAAGTGAAGGATCCGGTAATGGAAATGAAGGCTCTGATGGCTCCAATAATGGAAATGGTGATTCATCTAATACTTTAGGTGAAGAATCATATGAATCGGGAACTCAACAGAGCGGTGATTCAAATAATGGAAACACCGACTCATCCAATAATGGTGATACATTCAATAGTTTTGGAAGCTTACCAAATGGTGACTCCAGCAATGGAAATGGTGGTTCTAACAACGGTAATGAAGGTGTTAGCAACGGTAATGGAGATTCTAGTAATGGTAATGGAGACACTAACAACAATAATAGTGTCTCTAACAATGGCAACGGAGGATCATCTACTGATAATGGTGATTCAAATAATAACAATGGAAATAATGGAGCTGATAATTCATCGAATGGAAACTCCGATAAAGATAATGGAGATTCTTCAAATATCGATAGTGGAAAACCCGGAGATGACAAATTACCAAATGTTGATTCAAATAGTGAAACTGGTGATTCTAATACAAGCAGTGGAAATGAAGGTTCTGGAAATTCATCAAACGGGGAAACCAATAATGGAAATGGTGAAACCAATAATGTAAATGGTGAAACCAATAATGGAAGTGGTGAATTCTCTAATGCTAGTGGTGATAAACCTGGTTCAGACAATTCATCAAATGGAAATGAAGGTCCTGGAAATATCCCAAATGGCCAATCGTTTAATGTTTTAGGTGGTGGATTACATGGATCAGAAAGTGTTAATAATGGTGATTCAAATAATGGTAATGGTGATGTATCCAATTCTGGTAACTCTGACTCATCAAATAACAGTAATGGAGAGTACAACCAGAATAAAGAAGAATTATCCAATTATACAAATGAACCAAGTAGAACTTTTGAAGAAATATCATCTGCATCTGAAATTGAAGTTTCATCAAGTGAAGTTAATGAAAAACCTACCGGTACAGAAATCAATAATTCACAAAATGGAGAATCATCCAATAACGGAAATAATGAATCATCAAATGGAGAATCATCCAATATGAATAATGAAAACAAAGGAACTGATAATTCACAAAATGGAGATTCAAACAATGAAACTGATGATAATGAAAATAATGAAATTAATTCAAATAAAGATGGTGAGAATGAAAACACTGAAGTGGTTACTCCAACTAATTATTTAGATATTTCTGCCATTGAAACAAACTCAGAATTGGGTATTGATTTAGTATTAGATCTTTCTATGCAACTTGAATCGGCATCTGAGGTGATGATTTTCTCAGAGACAGATGCAACCATGTCTGAATTGTCTTCATCTGAAACAGAATCCTCAATTGACTATCCACCTGCCAATGAAAGTAAAGATGAATCCAAATTAGTCACAAATGAAGGTACCGAATCATTACATCATACAACCATATCTACCAATGATAATTCAGATGGTGTTGGTACAAATACACAAGATCCTGAATTTATAATGAGTTTAGAACTGGCTTCAGAATTAAATATTGGTTTAGATTCACTGGTAGAATATGAAACTGATGTTCAAGGATCATTATCATTATCACAATCATTAACTTTATCAAATCAAGGTCAACCAGTTGAATTAACTTCATCATCTTTATCTACCGATGATATGTCAGGAGTTACAACTGATGAAAAATATAAACAAACTCTTGCTGCTGGGAACCAAGAACATGTTGAACCTTCTAAAAATGAAAAAATTCCAGAATTTTCATATTCTTCAGAAGTTAGTCAGTCAGATAATGAATTCACATTCAGTTTAGAATCTGGATCTGTCATCATTATAGGATCAGATTTTTCAGAAACAACTAATTTACAAGAAGGTGAGGAAACCGGAATTGAATCAGAGATACAAATGTCTTTAGTTGAAGGTGGTAATAGTGGTAATTCTGTTGCTTCTACCACAACTGATGATCGTAATACTATTAATTTCCAAGAACCATCAGAAATTAATGTTGATGAAGAATCAATTGAAACTGGATTCAATAATAATGAAGTAAATAAAGAAACCCAAACAACTAAAGATAACAATTTCAATGGTAATCATGTTGGACCATCAACTGAAACAGATACTGAGGAAAATTATCGTCCTGGACTCTTTGGAGCTCCTCAGTTTGGTTACTCAGAAATAGTACAAGCTGGTGCTGCTGGTGCTACTACTACTACTTCTGGTGCTGGTGCTACTACTACCGCAACTGCTACTGGTGCTACCACTGCTACAGCTACTGATGAAACTGGAAATGAATTAGAATTTATATCACAAGAATCGAACAATGGAGTTGGTAACAATAATAATGCTGAGTCATCTGATAATGGAATTAATGGTTCTAATAAGTTGACAAGTAAAAATTCAGAAGAATTGGATTCTATGATTATTACAGAATTTTATTCATCAACTATTCCATCAAGTTTTGCATTTTTAGTAACTTCTAATGTTCATTTTACTAATCCAACATCTGAAGAAAGTTATTTAAACAGTCAATCATTTGATTTTTCAAATGATATTGCTCATTCTACTAGTGAAATTAAATCATTGATAGATTCTCATCATAATACTAAATTCACCCTGCTTGCTGCTGAAATTGGAATTATTCCTTCAACTACTGAGCCAATTATTAATGTTGGAGCTCAATTTGGTATCACTGATAATATGTTAACAACAACTGGAACAACTGGAACAGGAGCTACAGATGTTATTGGAGATAGTGATGATAATTCATTTGAAAATATGTCAAATGATAATCAAGAACCACATCCAACTGATTTCATTTATCCATCTGATAATTCTATTGTTGACGAGAATAATAACAGTGGTACTGTTGAAAACTTTAGTTTGTCCAATTCTGAATTAACTTCTACTTCTAATGGATTAATTCAAACTGATGATAACTCCGAAGTAACTAATTCTGATGATATGAATGGTCAATCAATGACAAGTAATTCTGTTGATCCTGAAGTTACAAATGATAAAAGTTCTACAACTAAGATATATTCTGAAAGTGATATTGAATCATTGATTAATGAAATATCCACCAAAATTAATGAATCTAAGAAATCATCATCTTTATCAACTACAGACAAATCCAAGACATCAAATAATGAAGCAAATGAAACTGAAAATTCTCTGAATGTTTCTTCTTTTGACAACCAAGAAGGTGTTATTCCATCACAACAATCATCCTCATCTGATATAGATGAATCGTCCAATACTTCAACCCTTTTTGTTTCTGTTATTGATGGTTCTGCTGTTGTTGTAGTTGGTTCAAATACACTTTTACTTTCAGTTATTGATGATGGTAAATCTAGTATTTTACCAGAACAAGAATTTATTGATCCTTCAACTATGATAATTTCAGAATCACTTGTTGCTCGTGATTCATCTTCATATGAAGATGAAGATATTTATACTACTGAAGATTTTGAATTTGAAACATTTGATAATAGTCAAAATTTTATGAGTGGGTCATATACACAAGTTGAAGGACTTATTGAATCTAAAACCCTGGAATTTATTGATAATGAAGGTGGTATTACCGACGCTGCGGAAAATTCTAATCAGTATGTCGATCAAGCTAATCCATCAATGACTACTGGTTATAACACTGGAAATGGCTCTGGAATTGGAAATGGAAATGGAAATGGAAATGGAGATGGTGATGCAACAGGCAATCCAAATGGTGTTGGTAATGGTAATCCAAATGGTAACGGCAACGCCAATGGAAATGAAAATGGTGTTGAAAATGGAAACGGAGCTAACAATGATTCTGGTTCTGGCTCAGATTCTGGTTCTGGTTCTGGTTCTGGCTCAGATTCTGGTTCTGGTTCTGGAAATGGCTCTGGAAATGGCTCTGGTTCTGGAAATGACAATAACAATACTGGTCTGATAACATCAACCGAAGCATTAGGTATAACTTCAACAATAGAATTTGAATCAGGACATTCAACAGATCTTGGAGATTCTGACAAAGAACAAGAAGAAAAAGAAGAAGAGTATTGGAATTCATCAGAATTAGCAAATAAAGATAAAATTTCAATTGATAATGAATTATTATTTGAATATGATAGTATGTGTACTATTGAAGAAGCAATTACTGTTGCTCATAATACTTGTCATCCATCTGCTTCTATATTAATTGAAATTCCAACAACTCTGACTGGTGGTGCTAATGGTAATTTAATATCTTTCATTTCTCCTGTCGTAATATTTGTTGCAATGGTTTTATTCTTATAATACAGTAATTCTTTTTTATTTTATTTGACTATTCTTTCTTTCTTTCTTTCTTATTTTTATTTTGTTTATTTTGTTTATTTGTTTGTTATAATTGTATATTCAAAACTCCTAATATAGACTTCTTTTATTATTAAAATAAATGATTTCATATCAATAGACTAAAGTAAATCAAATTAAAGTTGAATCCCAAATTATAAACCCTTCTCTCTGTTTTTGTTGTTAATTTAAACAAAGAATAATATCAATATACAAATAGCAATAACAAATGCTAAAATTAAAGTATCTCTTTTTCTTCTTGAATTAATTTTACTAATTAAAACATTTAAACCAGGTATATTTTGTAAACTACTCAATATTTGAGATTGAGCATTATTTAAATATTGACGTTGATTTAATAATTCATCTCTTGTATTAAAAGCACCTTGTAATAATCTATCAGCAATATTACCAACATTATTAATTCTTTCCAGTTCTTCTAAAATATAATCATTTCCATTAATATTTGTATTTTCTCTTTGTTTATGAACATTAATATCATTTTGAACATTAAATAATAAATTATTCTTATTTCGTTCTTCAATTATTCTATTAGTTATATTATTAAATGAAATTTTATCATCATTTAATTTTTCTTGATGTCGAGTAAATTGTTGTAATTTACTAGTACTTAAATTACTAGTTTGCATAGTTGATATTCTATTCATTTTAGAAATAACTTCATCTCTACGATTTAATAAATCTTTAATCTGTTGAATTATTAATTCTTCATCAGGTGTTGAATCTAAATTATGTTGAGTTTGAAATTGGGAATATTTCGATAATAATTGTTCAGTTTGTTTTTCTAATGATAATGCTTGTGATCTAGCCTGTGTGAATGTTTGTGATGACATTATGGAAGTAAAATTGATAGATTGATAACTATTAGATGATATTAAATACACAAGTTGTAATTATGCTGTGCTGTTCTATATTGTTTCGGTTTGGTTTGGTTTGACTTTTTTTTTTCTCTATCTCTCTCATTCTCTCCTTTTCGTTTTGGTGATTTGAGTATTCCTTTTTTTTCACACAACAAAACATAACCCATTGATAAATATGGAAAGAGATACGCCTAGTCAGACACATAGCTAATTGAGAATAAAACATCAGGTATGAATAATTAGAATAATGGAAAGATTGAATTTACCATTATTGGCTGTAGATTATTACACTAGGAATCACTGGGAGCAAACCAACAAAAAAATTCATAATTGTTTATAAAAGACACGACCAGACACGTGATATACCCAACGTGACACTACAATTTTATACTCAAGCAAATATGCAACCAAACAAAAAAATTAAAAAGTAATTTGCAATCCACCAAGTATTGTCTACATGTGACAAATGGACTTGATATATATATATATATGAACAGAGGATAATAATATCAAAGTAAGCTGTATGATTTAGGGAAGACCAGATGTGTTTTTTATCAAATGATGGGATTTATTCTGATACAATTGAAATATATAATACACTTGTTTCAAATCAATGATATTATTTCTATTCTAAGTGGGTTCAATTTTCAAAAATAAAAACATTTGAACCAATTGAATAAGTCATAAATCTATCTAATTATATCAATGAACTCTCATGTTTTTAATTTATAAATAAGCATTAAATCTCAATATGAAGATCACAATTGTCTTTGCTGTTATCATAAGATCAATCATTATTGTACTATATCCATTTTAACTTATCATCACAAAACATGTATATATATATATAGAGAGATATCCTCCACATAAACTCCAGGATTTATCGGGATTCTAATTGTTTTTTTTTTTGTTTTTGTTTCATTTGTGATACCAAACTGGATAAAATTTAATCAATTTCATCAAATTTTCATTGTTCCAATAATAAATAGATTTTTTTTTCCGGAGATTATCTAACTCCTTTAATTAGTTAATTAATTAATTAGAATATTGTTTTTTTATTTTTATTTTTGCGCTACCACAGAAACGAGATTATTGAACAAGGATTAGATTCAAGAATTGTGAGACATGATATAGCCGGATATTTCATCCGGAAAAACCCAAACAATTTATTATTGTGATCCAGAAAAAGATTACACAAACCACAATTCGGGCTTGGCATTTTACGAAAGAAAGGAAAAACCTTTCTTTTTTTTCTTTTTGGAGAATTTCCGAATGTGTACACAATAAGCAAATCATCGCCTTCATGTAGAAAGGTTTTTTTTTAAAGAAAATGAATCCGATTTACATTTAATAATTCGGAATTAGTAAAAAATTCCGATCCTTAAGATGATGATTATGATAAAGATGATTGGGTCAAAAATAATTTAAATTTAACCAACAATTCTTATTTTTTTCTTTTAAAAAAAATATAATTAAACATCCATATTCTGAAACTGAGACACAACAGAAATAAATAATTTCATAACTCTTGCTTTTCCTTTCTTGCTCCTCCGCCCCCCCTTTGTAGTAAATAAGTAAGTACAATTACATTGACGATTGTAACCAAGAGAAGTAAACCAATTAAAAAAAAAAAAAACTATAATCGCTCGATCCTTAATTGTAATACTAACCACAAAACAAAAAAATTGTATAAGATGTTATAAATGTAACATTTAATACGTCATATATTGAAATTGTTCTTTACACTGATTAATGTAATTAATATGACATGATATTAAATTAATGACAAGATCATTTAAGGTTTTTCAATTTTTTATTTGAAACGAAATTCTGACTCGATAATTTGTTAAAACAAAAATATGAAAAATTTCACCATATCGTAAATGTACATAGGCAAAGAAAATTATATATATATATATATATATATATACATATACAGATGAAGAAAAAACCACACCATTCTATTCCCGTAAATTAAATTAATTTGACCCAAAGCAAAAAATAAAAAAAAAAAAAAAAAATTAGAAATCAAATAATTTTGTCATTTTTACGTAAGTGAACCAAATTTCAAACGTACACCCCCTGATTCTCGTGACTTTCTTTCACACACTCTCCTATTGTGCAATTACTAAGTTTTCCGAACCATCCTTTCTCTCCCTCCCTCGCGCTTTTATTTGGGCGCGCCCCCTAGCGGAATTAAATTAAATTAAATTAAACTAAAGCGCCACAAAACGCGGCACCACAAACTTTTTAGTGCGTAACATTCCGGTCCCACCCCATGGGTCCGGTCTATTCACCTATTGCGCCCGTCATTGTGATCCCTTCTGGGTCGAGTTGGCTCGATCGTACGTCTAAAACATTCTCCCTCTAATCAAATCCACAGCAGCCCACTCACACCACAGAAGCGAGATCGGTTAGAATCAACTCGACTTGACTCCTCCCACCCAATCAAATTATACAACTTTTACTCTATTGGCCATATATCCTTATATTTTAATATATTTAAAAAAAAACCTGAATACTATACAAAGTAAAACTAATTAAAAATCAAAATTCAAACCCAAAAGAAGAAGAAATGTAAAAGACAATAATAATAATAATATTAAAGAAAAATAAAATTGATGTAGTTAATAATATAATAATAAACAAAAGCGATTGAATGCAATTTTTCTTTTCAATAATTTAGAAAATAAACAAAAAAAAAAAAAAAATGAATAAAAAAATGCAATTGGTAATATTTATATAAAAATCAAATATGAATTGAATCACTGAATGAATGTAATGTCGATGCAGTGGATGGTGGCAGACAAGATGCTAAAATTGGAGTATTAGGTGTAGAAGTAGATGAAGTAGATGAACTGTTACTTGTAGTTGAGTTATTGGCAAAACAATAATTGTTCAATAAATCAGTATAACTCAAACTTGAAAAATCAAGTTTGGTTGGATTGGAATTAGCAGTTGAAGATTTTGATGTGACGGTAGTAGAAACTGTATCTCTTCTATGAGAACGTTGTTGTCTCTGTGAGTATCTTTGTCTTGGAGTATTAACAATATCACTTGATGAAAATGATTTACCAAACAATGGAGGACGGACTCCAGCTGGTGAAGAAGAATCTTCAAAATTGTTGAAAACTGAAAAACTACGTTGACCAGCGGTTTTCTTGGTAGAATCTTTATGCAACATTAATTTGGAAACCAATTCATTAAATTGTGGAGAATCATCTTCCTTTTTGGATAATGAAGCTAATGTTGAAGAAACCTTTGGATGATGTGGAAGAGCTTGCTTCTTTTCAACTCTAGTCAATTTGAACTTGTAGTTGTTTCCAAAATTGTTGTCCCAATATTCATTACCATTAACTTCATATTTGATACACAATTGTAAATCAACATTGTTTGAACCATAAATCAAGTCATCCAAAGAAATTTTGAATTTAAATTGATCAATTGAATCAATTGATTTGACATAAGAAATAATTGATTGTCCACCAAACACAACACTAGTTTTCCAATTGTTCAAAGTCAATTTAACAACAATCTTCTTTTCAAATGCCAAATTCTTAACATTAACCAAACCATAAAGAAAAGTTTTACCATCGGTTTTCAAAACATATGCAGATGGCAACCAAACAATGGATTCTTTAGTGTTGACCATCTTTGGAATGTTATGAGAAGTTAATCTATATTCTCTGGAAGCAGAAGGAGCAGAAAAGGTGGTATTGGAGTGACTGTTGTTACTGCCGTTATTGGTAAATGTTTTTGGAGTTGACCAATATTCATCTTCATCTTCATCTTCAGAAGAACTTGAAGAAGCAGTAGATTTATCCCAGTTCCAATCAAAACCGGCTCTCTTTCTTGAGTGATTTCTGTTTTTAATCAAAGTGTAGACATCATCAGCGTCAAAGAAATCTGGTTCGAAATCATATGAAGGAGGTGAATGACAAGGTGAACAATTGGTTGAAGAAACAGCAGAAGGAGAATCACAACCATCAAACATTTTAACTTTGATTAATCTTGATGCAAAACGGACAGATTTTCTTGGAGTAGATGGAGCAGATTTGGATGATAATTGTGGAGTTGATAAAGAACGTTGCAATAAGCTTGATAATTTCAATGAAGATTTAACCAATTCACCAGATTTCTTACGAATTAATTTAGGTGGTAATGGGGTATATTCAGAAGGAGAAACAGGTTCATCTTGTGAAGTTATTATTGGTACTTTTGGAGGCACATAATAGTTTGGGATACTAATCTTCTTTGGTTTGGTTGTTGTTGTTGTTGTTGTTGTTGTACTAGTAGTAGTATTAGTAATGGTGGGTGTTGGAGATGGAGAAGATGTGATTTTAATGGTTGATTGTGAATCTAGGGAATCATTGGAAGAATTGTTATGTTTGAAAAATGAAGTTGATGTGTAAGATAAAGGTGAAGGTGAAACTGTGGTAGTACTAGTTTCCTTCTCTGTGATTGTAGTTGACATATTTAATGGCAATGTAATGTAAATAACAATAACTATTTAGTAGAAGTAAATCTTAGCAACTCAAAAATTAAATGAAAAAAAAAAAATTGAATTTTTTTTTGTGAGGTAGTTCCTTTGCTTAGTTTATATATGTATAGGAGCTATTATGGTTTTTTTTTTTTTTCAGATAAGATTGTTTGTGTGACTTTTTTTTTCTTTATGTAGTTTCTTTTTTTTTGTTCGCTTTTCCTGAATGGTTTGTTAACTGGAATCAAGGGAAATAGAAATAGAAACAGAAAAAAAAAATTAAACAATTAGACACAAAAATCTAGGGCGGGACTTAATGATGGAAAAAAAAAAGTTTAAACACCTAAAAATTGATTGATTAAAAAGATGACGTTGTGGTTGTAGTTGTTGTAATAGCTCTTCTTTCTCTTGAAGTTTATGTGTATATGTACAAGGAAGAAAAGAAGGCGGGATGATGGTAATAAAATATAAAACAAGTTGGTAAATAGTATGTCTTCTTCTTCTTTTTGTTCTTTTTGTTCCTTTGTGTTAGAAAAGTACAATTGAAGAATACGGAGTATGTAATATATTTGTAATAAGTGGATTAGGGGACAGAAAATGCCAGTTGTTGATGTTGTTGTTGTAGTAGTAGTAGTAGTATCAGTCTATCAATATATAATAATTCCAGAATATCCAGCACTCGGGAAGTCAATATATATATAAAAAAAACAAAGAAGATAGATATATTTGGATAGAGGATTGGTTGTAAAACAACAACTAGTTGAGGTGATATAAGTATATCTTTGTTGGTTGTCAAAATTAAAAATTGAAAATTGAAAACTAAAAAAAAGCAGTTGTAAAAAAAAACAAAATTCACTTGAAAGAAAGAAGAGGGAAATTGAAAGGGTATTTAAATAATTACATATACTTAAATCTTGTATAATATCATCTATATGTGTGTATGTAAGTGTGTATACATAATATTAGTTAATTATTTTGTTGGCTATGTGTGTGTGTGTGGGTAGAAAATTTTTTACAACAAAAATTAAATTAAATTAAGAGAAAAGAAAAGAGGAGAACAACAACAACTAACAAGGGGGGGTGTTAACCAGACTGCAGACTGCACACAAAACACAAAACACCTGACCACAAAACAGAAGAAGAATTACACAAAGCACAGCACAGCAAAGCAAAGCTAATAAAAATAATAATAAGCATTTTTTAGTCATTTCTTTAAACAAAGAAAAAGAAGAAGGGAGAGAGAAAAAGATGAAGAGACAGAAAAAATTTTTATTACTCTTATTATTATCCACACGCACACGTACTCACACACACACACACACTCTCTCTCTTTTGATGGGCTGCTAATATTTTTTACAACCCACAAGACAGCAAATTTATAACTCATAGCAAAGTAAACTTCAACAACTTGACAGTAGATCTATAGAATCCCTCGATCACTTGCTCTTTTAAGGTACATCACACACTCACACACACACGGTATATTAATAATCACTCATGGCTCATTCCCGATGGATATATTTCATGGTAGAATTCCTTAATCCTATTTCCGGTCGCACAGTATCCATCCATGATGTGCGCATGTACGTTTGCGCAAAATTGGCCCAGATCACCTCCGATTTTGTTCTTTTCTGTGTTCTCGCTCCCTCGTTCTTCTTCTTCTTCTTTTTCTATGATGAGTGTGGGAATAATAATAATAATAATAATAATAATATTAAAAACTATAATTAGTAATTTGGCAATTCATCATGAAACAAGGATATACAAACCCGAGACAGCAAATACACCCACCCACCCACTCACGCATACAGTGGTTGACACTTCTAACGCTCAACTGATAAACTCCATATTACCCTCTTGTTTTATCCCCACACAATTTTCCCCAGTATATTTGAACATCTATTGTTCTTGAATAAATTCAGTCCAATCTATTCAAGGGGGGGGGGAGGGCCGTTACAAACAAAAAACTGAAAAGAATCGTCTTTATCACATTAAAATCTATTTCTTCTCATAGTATATTAAAGAAAAATAAAACGCTAGATTATGTACGCCTGCCATCACCTGATGAAAAATCTTTTTTTTTTTTTTTTTTTTTTAAGGATCGAGAACCAGGAATTGGCTATTTTAAAGTATGCATAAATTTGGTTATATTTTTTTGTTTTTAGACTAATTTTTAGTATCTCCAGCAGATGATACGTATGACCCATGGGGCGTTAAAATTAAAAGGGAGAGAGAGTGAGTGTGATAGGGGGCGGTGGTAATAAGAGCTGCAGCAGGAAAGATAAATCTGTTCTTTTAAGATTTGACTTCGCTTGACTTAATAGAAGAATTGAATTAGTATAGTATAGATGAAGGGATATAAATCCTTAATTTTCTCTTATCGTATATCCAGGGTCGGTATTAAACGTGACAAGGGATTTTTTATTTTTTTGTATGTATGTATGTATTGGGTTGTCAATTTGCTTTTACATTATGGGTGGATGTGTCAGGTTTGGCAGCAGCACAACCTTTGATTATTGTTATTGAATATATGCATTGATGGATCATGTAGATCTTTTGCTTTCCATTTGGTATTTTATTTTAAGATAGGGGGTATTGTTTGACGGGATTCCTTTTTTAAATATTTTATGGCAGCGATCCATTTGATCTGGATTTATTATTGATGAGCCTACACGTATGCAATAACCTCAGGTTCGTAGATTGGTTAGAGGAGAAGAAAGGGAGAGAGTCAAATAATACAAAGGAATTAAAGTTTAAAATTCCAAACTCAAACTCCAAACTCAAAACTCATAGTTAAACACAGGCTTCTTATCATTACCGTGTCGGGATCTCCACACAGAATATCAGGCGGTGGAGTGATGATGGATTTTGTGAGTGATCAAATGTAATGCAGAGTCTTGCTACCGCTCTACACTTACACAAGTGGCCACAGCGGTAGGATACGTAGTGAATGTATGATTTACAGGCCAATATGTACTATCTAACTTCGTACATCTGTGAATGATTTGGGAGGTTTTGCTGGCTTGTTGAATTGATGATATTGATATCGAGTCTCTCTTTTTTTTGCAGCACCACCACCACCTCCTTGACAAAAATTAAAAATAAAAACTTCGGAAATTAAAAACATGACACAAAAGCATACAAGAAAAAGAATTCTAATTTACTGAAATGACACAAAGACACGATCACTGAATATAATGTACATAAATTTTTTTTTGTTTTAATCATCAATACTTCTTATTTTTGTTACAGAGTACACACACAATAAGAGATGAGTCTTGTAATTCTTGCGGGAATGAGATAAATGGTGTGAGATTTAATTTATGATTATTATTAGTACGATACTACTGATAACAGACAGTATTCATTACAGTACTTAGTCAAGATGACTTCATATTACATACACTAAATGTTAAATATTAAATACTAAATACTAAATACTAAGATGATGATGATTATAAATCCAAATAGTAATAGAATACTATAACAATAGATGAGTATGATTATTACACCAGACCTTTGTTATCTATCACACTGCACACACCCATACACATACACCCCCCCTGTAGGAGCTCATTATAAGGAAAAGAAAAAGAAATAGTCAATTATTGTCTTATTGCTTGTATGTACTTCTGCATTAACAGCAAGATGGGTTAAAAACCATTGGGAATTTTTTTTTTTAATCTATTGTTAACCGATTGATTCTATTAAATAGATATGTACTGTAGATAATGATGATAATGACAATTCATTGTTTTTAGTCTCTATATCTCCCTCTCCTTTCTTTTTTTGTTTTGTTTTAAAGCATATACTATATCCCTCACCCATGTTCTACACCCTCTGTGTCTTACTCTCTGAATTCCCCCTTTTTCTTTTTATCCTTATCTTGGTATTAATTCTGTATAGGAATATATCGAGCCGACGTTTATTACTCTACTACTTTCTTTCAGCCCCAGTCGTATCAAATAAATAAGCCGACTCGCTCATGGCATGGATCTGATTAGTGGTATTAATCGTACGATAAACGTTTATTATTGTCACTATTATTATTATATCCAAGGAATAATTAAGGGGCGGCAAGAGATAGAGATAGAGACAGAGATAGAGATAGAGAGAGGCAACAAGTGAGGGATTTGATTTAATCATGAATTTATTATTTTGCACCCTTCTCTTACTTCTCGTTTCCGTTTCTTCTCTCTCTTTTCTCCCCATGGGAAATTGATGATTAATTAACGATTTTAACCAATATTATATGTTCCTCGTTTGTTTCTTTACTTGCTTGAAACATTGGGACAACCATTGCATTTACAATGTTTCCTGGTTATGATAAGCTAACAGAAGAACAGTAGGGTTAAACATTATAGTTTAAATCAAATGATCTTTTGTGTAAAATACTAAAGATGAAGATAAATAATAATAATAATAAGAATAAGAATAAAATATAATCAAACGTACTTTAATATTGTATTATAGTGTGTAACTGGTGTACACCTTATTAAATTAAACCCAAATTATTTATTTTAACCCAATAGAGTTAAATTTTTCTTTCTTTTTCTTATTTCACATTTCATATTTCATATTTCATATTTCACATTTCATATTTCTTATTTCATATTTCACATTATTTTTTCATTAGTGGTTATGTATTATTTTAGACATGTAGATACATATATAATGCTTGCAGTTATAATCGTAATTTCATAGTCCATTTAATCAACCTCATAGAAAAAAAAAAACACCGAGAGATCCAGATTGAGATGAGCTAATTTCATATTCGAGAAAGACATGTAAAAAATTCACGCATATATAAACCGATTCCGAATCGTATATGTATATCTACACAAATTGAGTTTTCTTTTTCACTCTAAAAATAAACTACATAAATGTATTGGATAACTTTAAAGGAAATTATTAAAATAGAATTTTCTCTCTCTCTCTCTCTTTTAAGCTTTAGTTTTATTTTTAATCTTTTAGAATTCGAAACATGTGGGATACTTTAAAAAATTTCATTCTCGAAACTGGTGGTTAATTTCATACGTTTTTTTATTTTTATTTTTTCTTCTTCAGAAGTTTAATTCTGATTATTATTATTATTAATATTATTAACATTGTTATTATTGTTATACTCATCCTACTTAGGTTATACTCCGATTATAGTCTTTATTCCCGTACTTGTTATTTAATTTAATAGAATAGAATAGAATAGAATAGAATAGAATATAGAAAAAAAAAAGGTTTCGTGCATATGTGCACAATTGTGCTTAATTTTTGCAGTTCTTGAAACGAGAGAGTTGGTAGTGTTCTTTGTAACACTTTTCTTATTTAGCCGCCCGGCCCCACCCCACCCCGTCCCGCTAGCCACCACCACCAGCAGCACTAACAGCACCACCACCACTCTGCTCGTTAATTTATTTCTTCCCCACCTTCGTATTACATTGTGCACACCCAAAAGATTTGCAGTCTTTCTGGTTTTGTATCAGATATCAAACAACACACACACAAAATTTTTCTTTACTACTACAAGATCAATACATTTCACCATTACTGTATTTGATTATTATTATTATTATTATTATTATTATTATTATTATTATTATTGTTGTTGTTGTTGTTGCTATTATAATTGCTATTAATTATTATTTCTCGTAACTAGTCAGATCCAATGGTATTTTTTCCCACCAAATTAATATGCCACTGTACAATTCATCACACCACGCACCAACCCTTAAACGATCAACTCAACTCAACTCAACTTAACTAAATATACACCATATAATTAAGGTGTTTTTATTTAGGTGCTATTTGAATGTTAGTTTTTTTGATTCCTGAAATGTTCTTTAATTTTATATATATATATATATATATGTCTTTGTTTACTGGTTAACTCAATGTTTGCTTGGATTTACATTTACATATAGAATCCACCAATATTTCTTAGTTTTAATTAAAAACTATACAATAGTTTCAACTATTTCTTATCTTGTTCATCTATTGAATATTTTTCTTTTTTTTGTTTTAATCAAACTAGCAAGTACATATCTAAAATTGGAATTATCATAAACTAAATAAATAAACCTCTAGATTATTATATTCTTATATTTATTTTAATTATTAGTGATATAAAAATGAATCCTGGCTTTTCTTTTTCATAATTTGTAATATATAAATTATAGACACACTTAAAATTCATGAATATTATCTCGATTTAATGTTTGTGATTTCCTATTAAGGGTATGTATGAATATATTAGAATATATTGAATTTAGAAAGAATGTAACATAGGATTAATTTACTCTATACAACACACACACCCTTCATTTTTATATATTATAAGTGCCCTGGTGTTATTCACTTCATTCGAAATGTCATAAAGCAAGTTTATGTGGGTAAATTCGACAATTAATGAATGAATGTGTGTGGAGAGGGGGTAGGTGATATAATTGTGGAGACAGATAAACATAGAAAGGTACATTTATCTATCTTACATAAATGGGAAAAGAAAACCACACACATACACATATGGCCACCCACCAAGTTAATTATTTCTTATTAATATTGTTAGTATTTTATTTGATTATTGTTCTATACATATTGTTACAAAGTAAGAAATGTTTTTAACAAATGAATTTGATTTAATTTATTCTCGAGGATAGATGTGTGGGGGAAAGGGAGATTTATGAGGAGATATACATATTCAAAATGCAAGGAGTACAATTTATACAAAGAGGGGGCGGAAGGGGGACAAAGCGAGTAAACAAATAAGAAAGGAATGTAGGGGGTGTAAAGATAAATATATGAGATTGTTATTTGAAAGGAATAGATCTACGAATTGCATGAAATTGTTGGGTAATCAAATAATATTTCATTTAATATAGATATATATATATATAAAGCATTGATAAATTACGTTCTACCGGGAGAGAGAGGTAGAGTGGGGGAAGATAGAGAGAGATAACTACCTAAAGTTAAGATGAAAATAAATGTGTCTAGAATCATTGTTCATAATAAAATACTAAGAATAATTAATAGAAGTAATATTTCCATTTTTGAAATATTACATTCCTTTCTTAGGGCTTGCAATGAATTAAACACGCCTTGTAAAGTGTACGTTTTGAGATTCATATAAGTTCTAGATCTTTGAGTCATTGTAATTGATAATGAAAACATTCAATTCTTAAATGATATTGTCCTAATATGCAACTCCAAATTCGGCAGTGTCGATTTGGGAATTATGAATTTTTGCAGCAAAATTCCAAAATAACCAACTATTACAGTTATTACAAGACTCATTGATAAGTAAGAAACAATCTATTGATATATATATATATATATACCCTAATTATTTAATTTGATTTATTTCTTAGCACCATATCTAGAAACGGCTTTACCATCAGGAATAGTAAACAAAACAACAGGTTTACCTTCTTCATATGGTTGATCAACTCTAAAGTAACCTTTTCTTTCAAATTGAATAATATCACCAGCTTGTAATTTAGCAACATTCAAATCAGCAAAACCTTTAGTATGGAATTCAGTTTCTGGAGTAATGAAATCTTCAAAATTATCATTTTCTTCTAATTTATCTTTAGTAATCAAATGATCAAAATCAACCATATCAATTTCAACTTTATCTTTAGTATCAGCCAACCAAGTAAGTTTCTTTGAAGTCTTACGGAAATCACCTTCCAAATGTAAGTTGGCTTCAATGGATTTAACAATACCATCATCACCTTTAACAACTTTAGAAACAATAATGTTACCCCAATCCATAAAAGTAACTTCTTCACCTTCAGTTAAATCAGCATCAGCTTGATCAATTAAAACTTGATCAGCGAAAATAACATCTTTGTTACCAATATCTGGGTTCTTCTTATGTTTTGGTTTTGATTCAGTTGATGGTTCTTTTGGTCCATTCAATAATTTAACTGGAACAACATTGGCTGCATCAACAGCAGTGAATCTTGGACAAACTGGATCAATGATTTTTTTGTTCATAGCCCAAATAAGAGACCATTCCAAATTAATGATATTTCTAGAAGGACCTTGAGAAATAATGAAATTTCTTAAACCTTCAACAGTCATACCTCTTCTTCTAACCCCTCTAACAGTTGGGAATCTTGGATCATCCCAGTTAGAAACATAGTTTTTATCAACAAACCATTGTAATTTTCTCTTGGATAATAAAGTTCTAACAAAATTAACTCTACCGAAATCCCAAATAGCAACAGATCTTAAACCTAAAGCATTTTGAATCCATTCATATTGTGGGTTACGGTCTCTATATTCATTGGTTCTCAAAGCATGAGTAACACCTTCAATAGAATCAACAACTGGAACACAGAAATCGTAAATTGGGTACATTTTCCAAGCAGTACCAGTTCTATGATGAGGAGTCAAGTTACATCTGTAAATAGTTGGATCTCTTAAAGTTTTGTTTGGATTCTTGTAATCAATCTTGGCTCTCAAACAATTCTTTAAACCTTCTTCAGTACCATTCTTCATTTCTTCAGTGAAAATCTTCAAGTTTTCTTCAATGGATCTATTTCTTCTGGCGGAGGCATCACCAACCATTCTTTCTTCTCTCATTTTTTCAACTGGAGTATCATCACAATAAGCATTGCCATCTTTAATCATCTTGACAGCCAAATCATACATAGTATCAAAATAATCAGATGAATAAGTGATTTTATCACCTTTAATACCCAACAATTTCAAATCTTCAAGAATAGAATCTTGGAATTCAACTTTTTCTTTAGTTGGATTAGTATCATCAAATCTAATAATCAATTTACCATTAAATTTATGAGCAAAATATTCATTCAAAACAGCAGCTTTAGCATGTCCAATATGTAAATAACCAGATGGTTCAGGTGGGAATCTAGTAACAACTTTACCCATTTCAGCTCCTGGTAAATCAATTTCAAAACTTGCTTTATGAGCTTCTTTTTTACCACCACTAGCAGCAGTTTTAGCAGATTTAGCAGCTTTTCTCAATTCAACTAAAGATTTACTCATTAATTCGACTGAACCTTCAAATCTTTTATCTTCAGCTAATAAATTATACCATCTGGAAATGTTAGCATAAACACCATTCTTAATAACTGAACCCATCAATGCATTGGCTCTTAAAACACCCCAAATGGCAATATCAGCCAATGAGTATTGATAACCAACAACAAATGAACGGAAATTCAATGATGATCAAGTTTTTCCAAATCAGAACTTAATTCTTTAAATTTTTAATGTATAATTTATCTAAAGCAAATTTAATCCATTCTTGAGATTTGGATCTTTCTGGTAATAATTCAGGTAAAGTTTGAGCCAAATAATCTAAACCATCTAATTGATCAATAAAAGTTTCACCACCTGGAGTAACTAATTTAATGGTACTTTTAGATTCAGCATCAACAACTTTATCATCAACAAATTCAATTGGGATTGAAACATCAACAGAACTAGAGTTGATGAAATTAACAGCAATTAAGATTGGGTAAGGAATGTTTTGTGCCTTACCAGCAACAGATAAACTAAATGACATAATTAAGTTGTTTCTGACTTAAATAGAAAAAGAAGTAACAACAATCAATTGAAATTAAAAATTAAAAATTAAAAATTAAAAAAAAATTTATTCAAGTCAGAGGAGTAAAGGGAATATGAATAATCAACTCGAAAATTTTTTTTCAATGCGGGTCGTGTATCTGTGGCAAGTTGACTGTTTTTTTTTTCGGGCTTGCTTTATCAGTGGCAGTTTTAGTAGAGAGACACTTTTGAATGTACCATCATTTGATTTCACCAACAGGAATAAGGGACAGTCCACATACCAACTACTCACACACATACATACATACATACAAATGAGTATACATGCACAAAGGAATGGATCATCAGCTCAATTTAATGGTGTTAATCAACGTCCAACAGCTAAACGATCACCGTCAATTTTAGTCACTGATGCTCGTAGCGATAAAGTTAAAGGAGCACGAGCTCCATTTGCTGGTCAAAATTATAAGAAACAACAACAGCTAGAACAACAGAGACAACAACAACAACAACAACAGAATCATCGTGGGAATTATAATTTTCAACAACTGCAACATCTTAATGCTCTTCAACAACGATTTAAAAATAAATTTACTGATATATCAGTTGATAAATTGTTGAGCAATTCAAGTGATATTCCTTCAGGTCAATTACGATTTCGTCATCCTCCTAATTTCAATCGTCAACGATATGGAAGTACGGGTTCATCATCATCATCACCACCACCACCTCCTATAAGGAGTCCATATAGTCAACAAGATCATCGAAGAAATATCCGAAGTATTCCAAAACTTTCTCTGTCATTACCTTCAAGAACATCTAAAACTAGTCAAAAACTTGTATTGATTCCAGAAGAACAACGACATGGATCTCCACCATTAACAAGTTCAATTTCAACATCAAAGGCTACACAAGAAACAAATGTTAATGCAGAATTACAAGCTCAAATGACAAGATCAAGAGCTGAATTAATGCCAAAGGAAAAAAGAGCTGAAGAATTTAGTAGAATGACGGCTTATTTCATTTGTGAAGAATTCAATTTATCAGAAGTTGCTAAATTTTTGCGTAAAAATCATGAAGTTAAACCAAGATTATATGATGAAGCTTTATATGTACCTTATGCCTTACCTTTATTACCGGGGAATGAAGGAGTTCGTGTTAAATCAAATAATACTGCTAAATTATTGGCTAAGAATAAATATATGGAGAATATGATTAATAAAAATGAACAAACTACACATTTATATGAATATTATTCTGGTTTTGAAACTCCTGAAGATGCAAACAATTATTCCATGGATCCAGAGTTTGAAAATGTTGATGGAAATACTCCATTTGAACCTTCAGAACCACAATTTTTTGCTCCACCTGAGGATGAAGAAGAAGTAGTTGAAGAAATTGATCAAAATCAACTGAGTGTTGCTAGCAACAAGAGGAATGATAAAGGATCAGGAAACAATGCCAAATCAAAAGCCACAACTACCACTACGACTAACACCACATCCACCAATACAAATACTACTACTACAACAACAACATCGACGTCCTCCTCCTCCTCCTCATCATCATCATCGATTCATAGTCAAAGTGATGTATCTAAACATCATGCGGAAATGTTTGTATTTGATTTTGGAGTGGTTGTATTTTGGAATTTTTCTGAAATCCATGAAAAGAATATTCTTGCAGATTTAGCATTTAGTGATGAATCATTATTGATTAATCCAATAGATGAACAAGATATTGAAACAGAAGAATTTCATTATGAATATGATCGACAATTATTACGACCAAGAATTTATAATGATATGATTACTTTACGTTCAGCTGATCATTTAATTAAACTTACCATGTCTTATGCAATTGCACAACTGACGAAATTAGAATTATTTGAAAGTCGAATGGTTAATGTTTTACATCTGATTAGTAAATTACCTAAAAAATTGGCCCTTACTGGATCACTTGGATTGAAACAACATCAAGTTATGAAAAAATCTGGTAAATTATTTAAATTACGTGTTGATGTAAATTTATCTGGTTCTATTTTAGATACTCCTGGATTTTTTTGGAGTTCAGAACCTGCTTTACATCCATTATATAATGCAGTTAGGGAATATTTGGAAATTGATCAAAGAGTTCAAGTTTTAAATAATCGATGTAAAGTATTTTTGGAATTTATTGATATTATTCATGATAGTTTAAATGAAAAGAATACTAATAGAATAACATGGATGATTATTGTTATAATTTTCTTAAGTTTATTCGTTAGTTTATTTGAATTATTCCTTGGTTCATCTAAATTAGTTACATAATTACATATAGGGTTCTAATAATAAATAATAATAATAATACCTAATATTTTCTCATTTCCAATGTCTTCTATTTGATTTTTTTATATATATATACAAGAATATTTATAATTTTGTTAATGATTTTATTTAGTTGGATGAGTTGGAATTTCAACAAGTTCCAGTTCATTAATTTTCACAGCACCAGTACGTTGAATTAATTCATCAAAAATTTTACTACCTGATTTACCAGAACATTCGATATTTAAATTATCTTTATCTTCAAAACCATGAATTTTTAATAAATTATCAATTTTAATATCTTTATTAGAATTTTCTTCATTTATTAAAATATTATGAATAGTAAATTTTAAATTTGGATTATGATATTTTAAACTTGGTAATTTCTCTTTAATTAATTGATTAATACCTAAATTTGATTTATCAACTATTTTAGATTGTTGTTGTTGTTGTTGTTGATGATGATATACTGATAATTCAAGTTCTTTAAATTTTGATCCATCTAATTTAAATGAATTTTCTGGATTTGCAATAATACGATTGATTTTTTGAATACTTTTTAAAAGATCAGGTTTATAATTCTTAGCCTTTTGGAATAGTTGTCTTGCTGACATGATGATAATGTTGGTAATATTAAAGGTTAGTAATATTGAATGATTGATGATTGGAAAATCTTTTTTTCAAATTTTTTTTTTTCAGTGGTGGAAAATTTGGTGATATTGTGCACGTGTACACGACTTATGAATATACTGGAGAAGAACATTAGAAAGGTTCCTTATACTGTATAGGTGGTATTGACAGTTAAGAGATTCGGGATAGATAGAGACTAGACTAGGAAGATGTTTTTAATTCCCATAAGATGGTTAGATGTGGGGTTTATAATGGAATACTGTACTTTGGTGTAGTATTGACGAATGAGTTTGCAGTTTTTGCCCGGCTCTTTTCTAAATCATTTTCATAGATCAGATATATATTCCACCTCATAGATCACAACATGCTTTTATAGAACATCCTAAACCTAGAAAATGTATCAATTTCACATTTCTGGTTTTTCCGAAACATTATTAGCCGAGTGAATGGTAAACCCGCGATTCGTAAAGAAAAAAAAGAAAAAAAAAACAATAATCAAAATCAATCACTTAGCTATGATTACACGTAGTACAATTACACTCCTTGATAGTTCATGTCTCTACCTTCAAAATATGCCCCTGAGGGGTTAAGTGCTGAAGATCAGTCACGAGTAATAACTGTTGGAAATAAGAGACCTCGAAAACCAATAAATTATATCCATAGAACAATTGATGATAAAATTCAAAACGCGTTACAGAATCATCATCTTAACCACCAGGACCAACAAAATGGACATAATAATGATGACGATGATATTGAAATGATACCTTTTGAAGATGCAGAAGAAGTCGATGTTATTACTTCATATGTTGAATATTTACGTGGTCATACAGCTTATGAACAACAACAACATAATGATATGATGATTGATGAAGATGAGTTTAATGATAATAATAATGAACTAGTTGAAATTATAGAAGGAAATATATCTTATTTAATCCTTGATACAAATTTTTTAATATCTCATTTGAAAATAGTAGATTGTCTTAAAAAATTAGCCCCTAATCATGGATTGAAAATAATTATTCCAGTTTATGTAATTCAAGAATTAGATGGATTAAAAAATTCAAATAAAATTAATAATTCAAATAATGGAGAAGATGGATGTTCAGGTGAATCGATTTCACAATTAGCTAAATGGGCAAACCAATGGGTTTATAATTCATTAATTGATTCAAAAACAATAGTTAAAGGTCAGAAATTATCTCAACGTATAGATAAAAGTTTAATTAAAGATGATGCTATATTGGATTGTTGTTTATATTTCAAAAAAAATCATCCTAATAGTTTAACTATTATATTATCAAATGATAAAAATTTATGTTCAAAAGCATTAATGAATGAATTATTAACTGTTAGTTTTAGACCTAATATGAGTGGTGAATTAATTGCAGAAACTATATATAATGAAAATATTCAAAGATTTGGAAAAATAGAAACTAAAACAAAAGTTATCAAAAATGCCACACCATTAAGAATAAATTCACCAATTCCTGATACTCCTCCTCCTCATCCAACAGTTGCTCCTTCAAGTGAATGGGTGGCTAAAACTCAAGAAATAGACAGATATTCTAGTTTTGAAAGTATATCTATTGGTGTATACAATGAAATTCAAATGGTTTTGTTATCTGCATTACATCATTGTATGGAAGAAGAATATGGAGATGATTTGGATTTGATTCGTGATTATGATAAAGATCAAATAGTTACTATTGATGATTGTGCTAATTTGATTATACGATTCTGGAGTACTGTTTTTCTGGAATATTTCCGAGCTACTCCTGATCATTTCTTACCATTTCATCAATCAAATGTTCGTCGAAAATTTTCAAAGAAAACTCCAATTCATGTTAATGTTCCTAATTCTCCAGGAGAATTACATGAATTTATTTCGTTTTGGACTAGAGTATTGACCATCATATATGATGCAGTTATGCTGAAATTAAATCAAGATGCATTAGAGAAATTGATATCTAGGTGGAATAACATGGCTAGTAAAATATAGAATGCAGTTAAATGAAATTACATATATATGAATTGTGTTTTAAGATTCACCTTTTTGATAGAGCTCCGATTTTTCTTCTCTTGCGTTGTGATTGTGATGTATTCAGACTCGATGAACTATCAAGTTGAGATACTGCTGGTCGTTTAAATCCTCCCGAACTTGATTTTTTTATAGGAGAACCCATTAGTTCCAAATCAAGAGTTGGTTGAGATTCAAATTGAACCAGTGACACTTGTGATATTTGTCCACCTGATTGAGATTGAGATTGAGAATCATCAAATTCAAATTTAACAGGACTTAAATCTTCTTGTTCTTCAGTAACATTAAGATAAAACAGATTAGCAAATTTCCAAGGATTTTCCACTGCCAGAGTAATATTTTTATTCAATTCTTCATCATTTGATTTCTTATTATTTGATCTTAAAGTTCTATAATCAATAGAAGATTTCTTTTCCCATCGACTTGGATTAAATTTCTCTATTGATTCTAAATCAGATCGATTAATTTTCTTATAATTATTAATTAATTCCATTCCATGACTTTGTTTGAAATTAGTTGCAAGAAATCTAGAATATTGATCTTTAACACTGATGATATCTTTAAGATCTTCAATTTGATATTTCAAGAAATTCATAGTTGAAAATTGTTGATAATTCAATTTGGCAAGAAATTGTATTGTTCTAATATCATCCTGTTGAATTAAACTAAATTTCCATTGTGGTTGACCATTAGTTTGTACAATTATATTATCATCTTTTTGTTCAAATGTTATATTATCATGTACATCATTCTTTAACTCATGTAATAAATGAATCAAATCAGTTTCTTTAAGATCTTCAAGACCAATTGAATTTGCAGCTTTAATCATACCTTCCTTGTCTAATTCTTGAACCCAAACATGATCAAAATTAGTAAGATAAAATCCATAACTGCAACTATTCAAAGTATTATATATAAATCCATAAATACATTCTTCTTTTTCAAGAAATGGAATTGATTTAGATATCCATTGAGTAGGTAATATCAGCATTTGATTACCTATTTCTGAAAAAGAATACACGTACGATAATAATTCGAGGAATTTTACCACCGAGTATCACCGAGAAATCCTCCAACAACACTTTTCTACGTTTTACACGACCAATAAAGGTTGTGTTGTTAACTACGATACTTACAACTGTTGAGTGATGTGTATCCACACTATAACTTGTCACATTTCACTAAGCTAAATCATATGTGATTAGTTAACTATGGATAATTGTGGTGAATACGATTAGTTCTAACTCTGATTTCTGCACAAACAGTAATTCTAAGAATTATTTATTAAACATTATACAAGATGAATGTTTGGTAGTGTGATTTGTTCATATTTGAAAAAATAGCTGTGTTTTTCAGTTATCAGATAATTGTATCAAGTTTTTTTAGTGTCTGCTCAAAAAATATCCCGTACTATAACAGAATGTATGGTATAAATAGAATTAATAGTGATATAGACATAATAACAACAAGCTCTATTAGATTCTATATATGATTAATCCTGTACAGTATTAGTAATAGTTTTATGCTGTTATAACACTAATTGAGGTAGTTTTCCTCTTCTTATCTAGTGATTTGCAGAAATGGGGTCTTAAAGGTGAAAATCTCAAGGGATGTTCCTTGGAAATTTATATCTCGACGTAAACTGGTCGATAATTTTATAATTTTAGTCGACAATTACCGCGAAAAAATTGCAAAATTCAAAAAATTGAAAAATAAATCATGAAAATGCTATACTGATACATATCTACTAATTTAACACAATTAATAGTTTTAAGGATATTTAAACAATAATAGAAGGATATTTTCACCTTTGATGACATCTACAATAGATTCAAGTGACAGCAAATTGATGATATCATACTAGTGCAACTGAAAATATGCTATCAGTTGAATTTTGTATGGGGAAAAGAGATTCACGTCTTTTTTTGGTATTTTTTCGTGTGTGAACCGATTTGAATTTCACGGGAATAAACCACTTGAGATCCTGATCAACCCCTTTGGAAATACCAGATGAACAAAAAGTTAGAAAATGAATATAATAATAGTATATATCTGTCAACATGTATATGAATATTCTAATGAATACAATTTGAGCGGTCTGGATATCATAATTATTGAGTTATTTAGGAAAACCATAATTCCCGATAAAAAAAAGATACTTTGATTTTTCAAAAGTAAGGATTGATAGATAACTCCACCAGTTTTAACTGTATTGGCTCAAAAGTTAGTGTGACAGTATTAAACACTGATACAGATAATATCATATTGTCAAAATGACTAGAATCGAGCTAGAATTGATAGATCTAGCGAAACATATGCAACTTCATGAAATTGCTTTGGTTTGCAAAATAAGAAAATTAATTTCCTGTCGTCGCATTTTTGGAAATTTCTGTAAAATTACTGAAGTTTCTAATTTTCCACCTTTTGGCAACTTTAGGCAACCTTATGACGTTACTATTTTTCTGCAACATAATGAGGTTTTCAACAAACTAAAAGGAACATTGCGATTTCTCAATTTCGGTTATTTCAAAAAGACTCCCTCAACTTTATTAATTCACCTTTTTTTTCCAAAATTTCGCAACGACTTCAATTGACTGCTACTAGCAATGATATTATTTTTGTTATTTGAAAGCACTAGAAAAGTGGCAAAAACAACAATATCGATAAATAATATATTGGAATAATATGAAAACTCGGATAGGCTATCATTACATATGAAATAGTGATAAATATACAACAGCGGTAATTATTGAAACTATGCTGTATCGGTATAAAAATCCACTCTATACTTCATTCTCCAAAGCGGTGAACTGGAAGTAGATTTGGTAGAAGATTGTAGTGTACAACTTAAATAACCCCGATGGTATAAAATAAACCACAATTAAAAACATTTGCAGAATAAAATTAGCTATTAGTTATGCTGAAAATCTTTTCAAATGCCTATTCTCGACGCACAAACTCTGCAAACTCTTGAATTTAGGTCCATGGTTCGTACGAACGAATCTGAAAAAGAAAAAAGAAGAATTCTAATATCAGAAAGAAAGGAATATATAATACATAAATCGGGTTCTGTTCCATTACTACCACTATTAGTACTTACCAGGACAATATATTATGTTATTCGTTAATTATATCATCGAGTTAAATGCATAAAACCCACAATGGTTCATGTATCCAACCAGTACAACTGAAAATATATCACCAGTTACATTTTGTATGGGGAAAAGAGATTCAAGCATTTTTGGATATTTTTTCGTGCGTGAACCGATTTAAATTTCACGGGAATAAACCACTTGAGATCCTGATCAACACCTTTGGAAGCACCAGATGATTTAAAAACTGTAAATTGAACATGATAATAGTAGATAAATGAAGCTATTTGCATGAGTATTCCAATGAATACAATTTGAGTGGTATGAATACTGTAATTATTGACTTATATAGGAAAGTCATAATTCCCGATAAAAAAAAGATACTTTCAAATTCCAAGAGTATGATTGTTAGATAACTCCTCCAATATTTATTCAATTGATTCAGAATTAATTGAGATAGCATAATTTATCACTACAAATCATATACCATTTTCAGAGTTGCAAAAATCGTACTAACAGTGACAAATGCTTCAAATCGTGGAACATTTGCATGTCGCACTGTGACGACCATAGAAAACAGAAATATGAATGCTACTTTTTTCTGGAACATTTCAAATATTCCTCAAATTTGGAACATACAAATCTATGCTGCATTGGAGAGAACATTTGGACATTTTTAATACAGAGCACAGCCATTGTGACATAGAAATACGCACTAATTACGACATTGAAAATCCGTGAATTAATGCACTGAAAATTTGAATATACAGATATACATGATACATCTATTGGAATATACGAATACGCACCAAATTAGAAACTTAAAATCTATGATTTAATTGACGGAATATTTGAATATCTAAGTTGCAACCATCAAATTCATGAATATAATCATCCATCATCTGGCTCTGTTTATTCAGAATTGTGTCAAATAGGCTAATTTGATTGATTTTTATTGCATTCAAATTGATTATTTTGATTGATTTCTATTAAATTCAGATGGATTAGAAGATATGTATTTGAAAAAGGTTATATCAATGGTGTCTAAAATGCTTCTTTTTTTTCTGTATATCAAAGATCTATTCTCACTATATTAGAAACCCACTAGATTTTGTACAGTCGTTGCAGTTTTATTTCGCGCTAGTTTGAGCATAATTTTCAGATCAGTGAGTCAAAATTATTCGCACTATTTGCAAAGAAAAGTTCATATTAAGGCGGTCAATATTTTTGATACTAGTGCGCAAAAAATGTTTATATTACGTGACCTCTATTTGTTCATACTAAAAATGTATGATATGTGATATGAACAAAAAAGGGCAGCTAGTTTGAAAGTATTATTTCCGCTGGTGTGAACATTTTGACTCCATTTACTATGAACAATTAATCTCCCTTACTATGAATTAAATTGTCGCACTAGTATTAATAATTTCTTTGAACTTGGTACGAACTGAAAGTAGAAACACTGTATGGGGAAAAAACATTCATGTCAATTGTTAAGATTATTTTCGTGCCTGGGCAAAAATTTGAAACCCA